CGAAAATGGCAAGACTGATGTGGAGAATCACATCGAGCACCTGCGAGCTGTGCTCGGTTGCATGAGGATGCATAAGTTGTATGCCAATATTGACAAATGCATCTTCGGTGCGGAAGAGATTCCCTTTTTGGGATGCTTCATTGGGAAGCGAGGAATCCGGGCAGACCCTGTTAAGGTCAAAGCCATAGTGGATTGGCCGGTTCCGAGGAACCAGAAGGACCTCCGCAAGTGGTTGGGCTTGGCAAATTACTTGCACAAGTATAGCCACAACTATGCGGAAGTGGCTAGGCCATTGTCCAATCTCCTTAAAAAGGATGTGGAATGGTGTTGGAACACCGAGCACCACGAGGCTTTTGAAGCCATTAAGGAGAGTCTCCTTCAGGCGCCAATTCTGGCTCTACCTGATCCTGATCGCCCGTTTAGCGTCGTATGTGACGCTTCGGACTTTGCCATTGGCAGTGCACTTTTGCAAGTCGACTCTGAGGGTCGAGAACGCGTCATCGCGTTTGAGTCTCGCCAGCTGAAAGCTGCAGAGAAGAACTATCCAGTTCATGACAAGGAGCTACTTGCGATGAAGTATGCCCTTGTTAAGTTCAGGGTACACCTGTTGGGCTCAAAGCCGTTTGTGATCTATACCGATCATGCGTCATTACGCACAGCGACACAGTCGCCTCATCTCTCGCAGAGAATGGCTCGTTGGCTCTCCTTTTTTGCGGAGTATAACTTCGAGGTGAAGTATAAGCCGGGAAAACAGAATGTTTTGGCTGACGCGTTATCGCGTAGACCTGACTATGAGCTTGCTCATCTCACTGTTGTGAGTTCGTCAGTAACGGATCGTATCCGTGTGGCGTATGCACGCGATGAGGCATGTGTTGCCATTCTGCAGGCGCTAGGTAGCGCAGAGTTTGAAAACTCTAAGGTGAAGTTGTCACCACGTAATCGTGCGAGATTACATCGTTATGCACTGACCGATGGTCTGTTGTACTATAGTACAGGGTCGGATGACCAGCCTCGTGTTGTGGTGCCTCATGATGAGGACCTCAAGTATCAGATACTTTATGAGGCTCATGATACACCACTTGGTGGTCATTTAGGTCGTGAGAAGACCTACAGCTCGGTGAGCACCCATTATTGGTGGCCCAAGTTGTACAAATGGGTTGGTACCTACGTACGCACGTGTGAAACGTGTCAAAGGGTGAAGCCCTCGCCTAATATGGCTGCGCCTTTGGCGAGTTTGCCTGTACCCTCGGGGTTGTGGCAGTCCATTAGTATGGACTTTGTGTTTGGCCTACCGCGTGATGCGGCAGGCAACACTGGGATTGTGGTCTTTGTTGACCGACTGAGCAAGATGGCTCACTTAGCGGCAGTGCCGGACTCCATTGATGGAGAAGGAACAGCAAAGCTGTTTATGGATCGTGTGTTTCGACAACACGGATTGCCTGTGGCAATCGTCTCGGATAGAGACCCCCGTTTTACGGGTAAGTTTTGGACGTCCGTCTTTAAAGTGCTCGGCACTCGACTGGACATGTCCACGGCGGATCATCCGCAGACCGATGGTCAGACTGAACGCGTCAACCGCGTTATTGGCGATATGCTTCGCAGTGTTTGTGCTGAAACACCTAAGCAATGGAGCGCGATGCTCCCTCTGGTAGAGTTTGCGTTGAACAACGCGGTGCATGCCTCGACAGGCTTCACCCCATTCTATGTGAATGGATTGGTTAACCCTCGCGTTCCTTTAACGCTACCCCCTGCCACATCAGGGCTTAGTGGGGGAGAGATAGCCGAAGGCTTGGCTGATATCAGCCCTGTTGCGATGCGCAAGAAGGTGGAAGCGTTTCTGTCAACGCGTTTTGACGTATTACGTCGCGTCAAAGACGCTATGGCTGAAAGCCAGGATGTTCAGAAGGAACATGCAGATGCCAAAGGCAGGAAAAACGAACATGAGTTCAAAGTGGGAGATTTGGTTTTATTAAACGCTAGGAATTTACCGACACGTGCAGTGTCTGCGGTATATAAAACCAAACTGCGTCCACGCTTTATTGGGCCTTTTAAGGTCATAAGCAAGAAAGGCTTAGCCTATACGCTGAACCTTCCGAAGAAGATGCGAACACACCCTGTGTTCTACGTGGGCTTACTAAAGCCATATCTCAACCCTGCCTCGGTGGACTTCGAGGGGTTGTCCCCATATCCCCGGCCGAAGGAGGCGGGTAGTACGGCACCGGAGGTGCATATGGACGCTGAAGGCGTACCAAAAGATCATGGATCGATGGGTCACCGACCCCCGCCAACGCTGACTGATCGAGCTGGGTCATCAACAGTTTCACGTCGAGCGTCTATTGGCGCGACGTCTTCATCAGGGCCACACCCAGTATCTGGTAAAGTGGAGGGGGTACCCTCAGTCGTATGACTCATGGGAGTACGAGGTACCCCTACGGCAAGACTGCCCGGACGTCGTTGAAGCTTTTGATCGGGAAGATCAGAAGCGGCGACAGCAGTCGCCGGATGCTTCCTAGCACTAAGTGCTGTGGAAGCAAGGTCAGTAGTTAGGCTTCACCTCTGACCTTCTTGGGAAGCAGTTGCTGGTACCTCACTCGCGTGAAAAGTACTATTATCTGCTTCAGAAGCAAGTTTACGACTATATGGCTTTCATATAAAGCAAGTGGTAAAACAATGGGGAGCTTAAAAGCAAGTGGAATAGACTATGGTCATGAGATGTGTGGGATACGGTGCATAAAATAAGTGTGAAACACTGTAGGACTTCATATAAGCAAGCGGTAATATAAAGAAGGTGCTTAATAAGCAAAGTTTACAACACTTTGGGGCTTTATATAAGCAAGTGTGAAACACTATGAAGCTTTATCAGAAGTGTACAACACTTTGGGATTATATAAGCAAGTGTTTTAAGCACTTAAAGGCTTTTACAAAAAGCAAGTGTTCAACACTAAGGTGCGTAACAAGCACGTGTTAAACATAAAGGTGCTTTATAAGCAAGTGCTGAACACGAAGGTGCTTTAAAAGCAAGTGTTTAGCAAAAATGTGCTTTATAAGCAAGTGTTGTACACTTAGGTGCTTGATAAGCTAGTGTTATACACTATGGTGCTTGATAAGCTAGTGTTATACACTATGATGCCTTATAAGCTACTGTTAGATGCTATGGTGCTGATACGCTAAAGTGAAGCGAAAATGTGCTTTATAAGCAAGTGTTGAACACTTAGGTGCTTTATAAGCTAGTGTTAGACACTAATATGCATTGTAGCTAGTGTTCGACACTAATGTGCATTATAAGCTAGTGTTCGACACTAATGTGCATTATGAGCTAGTGTTAACATTACGGTGCTTTGTGAGCAAGTGTTACACACTTATATGCTCAATCGCTTATAAGCAAGTGTTGGTAGGGGAACACTGAAATGCTTGAAAGCAAGTGCTAGGCACCTAGTGCTGTGAAAAGCAAGTGTTCGTGAACACACAAAGGGTATTAATAATACCAAGTGCTTGGCACTTAACGCTTATAAGCAAATGTCGTAACACTTAATGCTTTAGCGTGAGTGCGATGCACTATATGCTCAAAGAGCGAGTGTCGTAACACCAGGATGCTTAGAAAGCGTGTGTGCAAGGCACGGGTGCTCAAAGAGCAAGTGTTAAAAACACAGAAGCTTTAGTTCGCAAGTGCAAGCACTTATTGCAAGGCAAGCAAAATGAGAAGAAAATGAAATCGATGCCTCCAATAAGGGGCAAAAAATCGTGGGTACGTCGGGTCCCACGGATTGGTGGGGGAGGGTGTAACGGGGTTACACGAAGATGTGTATTTTACATACACACCTGCCACACCAATGTGGTGTGGCTGTACCTTGGGTACAAAAGTAGGTGATGTGACCGTACCTGAAGTACGAAGGGTCACATCGTGGCAGAGAGCCACGTGGTCACTATACTTATTTAAAGTATAGTGACTTTGCATTGTTGCATAATAATAAAAGGCTATAGAGCCAGTAATAGTGACTAGCACTAAGTATAGGATAGGTGCTTCTATATTTAGTGTTAGAAGATAAACATAAATATAAATCAGTTTCAAACCTGCTCTGTAAGCACTTGCTGCTTGAGCGTTCTATTCCTTGAATACAGGAATCAGTATCTTTGATACTAGTCTCTTTGAGACTCGGTTACAATAACCGATAGGCACAAGCTTACGAGCTAGCCTAGGAGGGTTAAGACACCCTAAGACGTAGAAGCTCTCTGAGTTTGTCTTTCTCTGCACATAGTGCATACGTAGCTTTGCTACAGTAGTTTGACTACTTCTTCTGCACCTAGTCATCTGCACATAGTGCATAAGTAGCATAGCTACAGTAGCTCGGCTACATAGTTAGACTAAGTATAATGACTACGTGGCTCTACGCCACGATGCGACCCTTCGTACCTCAGGTACGGTTACATCAAAAAGGATGTGAATCCCAATGAATCCAACGTACAGCCACACCACAATGGTGTGGCAGGTGTGTATGCAAAATGCACACCTTGAACCCGTTACAGCCATGCTAATTAAAAACGTATTCATGTGGTGTACAGCACATTAGATGGACACCCACATGTGCGATCCTTCGCAGTTGAAGGCAAACTATAGTCACACCAAGTTAAATTGGACGTTACTAAACCTACAAGTTTGCACCAGTCGCCACTAGCCACATTGTAACCACTAAGGCAAAGAAATAGTTGAGCGATTATTGAAGCAGGCAGTGCCTGCTTCTCTTTTCATCATCATAAAGATCTTTCTAATATTTCGTATTTCAACTTGCTTATACGCTCAATTGATTTGTATCCAATCTTTCCACCATGAGCCACGACAACGTTAATAGCAGAGACCATCACTCTCTTAGCACCTGTGACATGTGCGTGACTTGCTTGAACTGCCGCTTTGGTGCTGTAATCTCTCATTATAACTTGAACTCTGTCTTGTATGTTCGTCTACGTGTGATCATTACCATAGGAATCATCATCTCGATCTGGCCATGGATCGCTTTCACTTCAATCAGCATCATCATCAAGCAGGAAATACAGTGGAATCAACTGGTTTTGACTCACCTCTCTCCACAACATCTTCATATGATTCATCTGGATCGAAGAGAGGGCAATTATTACCAACTAGTGATGCACTCTGGGGCTTTGATGACGCTTTAGCCCAGTCATTGCACGCACTGACATTTACGACAGATGACGAGACCAGTAGCAGTACTACACCGTCTACTATCAGTGATACTTTGGTCAATACAAGACGACCTCGTAGTTATTCAGACTACACGGCACTTGGTAATAATACGCGATGGAGGGCAAATGGAGAGCTGAGCGAGTTTGGAGCGCTATGGGACGCCATCAGGACGGACTTTGCCTCGCGTCATGTCGTCGTACGCTGTGGCGCTGGCACTTGGGATTCCTTGGACGTACGCCGCATCGTGGATCGACTTAATGTACGTCGCTGCGGAGCCGTGATTTAATGCATCGTTTAAAGAATCTTGCTGACTGTTTTGCTGCTGCGTCTCTTGTTCTTCTAGCACTTTGGGACTGTGGCCAGGACACGTCGTGAGTTGACTGCAGGCGGGCTGCTCTTTTGCACGTTTTTTGATATAACCAGTGCTGTAGCTGCATTTGACCGCTGGCGCGCTGACGCAGACATCATCAGCTTTTGTCTACCGTACGAGCTTCCGGACGACGTCAATTCAGCATCACTGCTTGTGCATTTTAAGCTCAGTGACAGGTCGCCTGTGACGGTCTCCGAATTGCGTCAGGTCTGTACGTATTTCGGTCAAGTAGCAAGTGTGTTGCAGCCTGATACGCGTGTTGCCAAGTTTGTTATCGAATATTGCGACTCGCGCATACTTCCTGCAGCCCTAAATGGACTACCACGCGCTTTCCAGACGAGTGGACCATTGTCTGTAGCTCGCACGATGCTGCCGACTTTGGACGTCAACAAGCTTAAACTCTTTCAGGAGTGCTTAAATCGGGCAGCGGCCGCGCATCCACGAGTTACTAGGGCTCGCCCTAAGAGTTTTTCGTCTATTAGCACGTCGCTTCTGACATCACCTACGTCATCAGTCGCGTCATCGCTCAACGCGTCCCTATTGGAAGGTGCAAGCAATGACAGTCCCCTGGTATCGGGCAACTACGCTGGTGGTGGGAGAAAGCTTACTTCCCCCGTGCTTATGCCTCAGGATGAACAACCAATTTGGGCAAGACCAGTGTCGCGGGCCAGAAGCAACTCTTCGACGTCTACACATCTGGGCAGATCTCTGTCATCTGGTCGCTTTGGCGAGTCAATGGCGTATTCAAACGGGTTTACGCTTCCGTCGTCTAGTAGTATCAGCACGAGGTCCAATTGTGCAAATGGGTTTTCGTCATTTCCAGCTGCTCATAGATCGCAGTCTTCGAACACTCAAATATCTCTTTTCACTACTGCTCAACAAGCAAGTCAACAACAGCAAGCTTACTATGATAGTCGTGGACAACGGCGCGCGCAGACCAATTTTTCCCTCATCAAAAGCAGTTATAGCAACAACGGACCCTTCATACAAACAAGTGTAGCAGATAGTGGTGGTCATGCTGGCGTTTCGGGTGGTGGCACTACAGCACGGCTATTAACTGGGCGTAACGATCAAGGTACAGGCGAATTCAGCTTATCGATTAATAAGGTGGTGTCGGGTGCAGATAAACGGACCACCTTAATGATCCGCAACATCCCTAACAAGTATACACAGCAGATGCTACTCACAGAAATCAATCGCAACCATTGCGGCAACTACGACTTTTTCTACCTACCCATTGATTTCAAGAATAAGTGCAACATGGGCTACGCTTTCATTAACTTCATTGAGGCGGCGCGCATCGAGGCGTTTCACCAAGAATTTGATGGTCAGAAATGGACAAACTTTAATAGCGAGAAAGTCTGTGCTATCTCGTATGCACGGTTGCAAGGCAAACAGGCGATGGTCGCGCGATTTCAGAATTCGAGTTTGCTTGAAAAACACGAATCCTACCGGCCACTGGTCTTTGGTAGCAGTGGCCCGAATCGCGGCAAACCGGAGCTGTTTCCGGCCCCCAAGCAGACTGTTTACAAAAAGCAATCAGTGCACGCACACTCTTCAGGAATGTTTGGTGCTGACGATTATGGCAACTACGTAGCTCATCGAATGTATGCACAACAGCCACTGCAGCAGCATCACGGGCAACAGCAACATTTACTTGCCGTTTATCGTCAGCAGATGGTGGGCATACCTCAGCATGCTATGCCTCCTCTTCCAATAGCCAACGGGCACCCTTACCTCGGAATGCAAGGACAGCCGGAGCAATACATTCCTTCGTACCAACAGGATGGCTCTCAACTGGCATCACCATTTTTGTATGGAGTGGCTGGGATTTCATCAAATGTGCTGGATTATATGCATTAAGAAGGCATGGCCATGCCAGAGCAAAGTATCCTGTTTTTTTTCAGTTAGTGCCTGCTTCAACCTGCTTGACTGTCTTCGGAGTTTGTGTGCTTTTGTTTATTTTTTTTGATATCCTAATATTTTGATACCTGCTTGCTCATGTGTATTGTTGCTGTGTGTCTTATTCGCTTTAGCTCATGTAACTCTTTCAAGATATACAGCAACTAGTATTCTTAACAGCAAGTGCATGGTATTCAATTAACAACACAAAGCGTCAAAGTTCAATGACGGTAGCTATAATTACGATGCAAAGAGGAATCGAAGGTCTTCTTCCGTAAGGCGGCATATTGCGCTTACATTTGCACCAACGGTCCCTTCAAAAATCAAGCGTTTTTTCTCTTGAAGCTTCAAGATGCGTTCTTCAACGGTTCCAGCAATAATAAAGCGAGTAGCTTGAATCGGCTTAAACTGACCCAACCGATGAGTACGATCAATGGCCTGGTTTTCAGCGGCAGGATTCCACCACGGATCCATTAAGAAAATGCTGTAACAAGGCAAAGCATAAAGTCAGAAAATCACCACTGTTTGCTATAACAAGACGTCCATGAAACTTACTGTGACGCGATAGTCAAGTTAAGTGCAACACCACCAGCCTTGAGACTAATCAAAAATGCCGTCACGGTTGGGTCGTCACGAAAAGCTTTAATCGTTCGATCTCGCACACTCATGCTCATGTTGCCAGATAATTTTACACAATTGACGCCACCGAGTTGCAGTCGATGGTGAATTATATCAAGCATATTAACAAACTGTGAAAAGATAATGGCTTTTCCTGAGGGATCACGGACACGCATGAGCTCGAGCTCCTGCATTAACGCTTCTATCTTTGTGCTGGACTGGAAAGCGTGAATGTCGGATATTCGGTGGAGAATGCTGTTTCGATGAAAACTCGATAGGTTCACAGCCTTACGTGATCGGCTACTCAACCAACGAGTACGCTCGTTGGGTGCATCAGTAGTATCCGTTTCTTCGACCACGAGGGATAGATCAACAGTTAAACGCTTTGAACACGTTGGACAAGTTGCCTCACCACCAGATGGAAGCGACTCAATGTACTCCCTTACACACTCCCGGCAGAATTCGTGCCCACACTTTGCAATAACGCCATCTTCGACGCATTCGTGACAGATTGCGCACAATCTCTCGTCTTCGGAGCTGCAACCTCCACTTGTACCAAAGGGCTGCTCTTCCGTCAATGGGACAGCGGAGTTTGGAAGCTGGAGAGCTGGATTTGACTTGGAATATATAACAAGGTAGGGGTGGTCAACCGCCTGGCGAAGACGTATAAGGAGATCAAAGACGTGAGCATAGTTATTTAGCAGCGTTCCTGACGACACATAGGTGTTGAACTGCGCTTGACTCTGAGTGTAAATTGCTTCATAGAAATCGTTCTCGCGCTCGTCTAGACAATCCTTTCGAATACGAATGAGCTTAGGTGGAAGCGAAATATCATCTGCACGACCTTCTTTCGTACGTCGTAGTAAAATCTGCAAAATTAAGTCACGTGCATGTTGGATAATGCCATATTCTCTCTCTCAAACCAACACAAAAAAATATACTTACGTGCTGTAGAACATCATTTTGCAGTCTTTGCATTGCAAGCTTACCCTCAGCAACATAGCCATACGATTGAATCGGGATAACCACTTTTTTGTTAAAGAACGAATAGTGCTGAATCGCGCTGTGGGAGCATTGCACACATTTCTTATCCGGAAAACTTACGTGGAGAATAAATCGACAGATACGTCAGACAATAAAGAAAAGTACTTGTCAATGAATGAAAGAAACGTACTTGTAGTCCAGCATCTGACAGTCACACATATTGCAATGATAATATGCGTATCTTTTTACACGAATAAACCGAACAAGAGAAAACAACTCGCCGATACGATTTTGTAAAGGCGTACCTGAGGAAAAAGCACAATAATATGTCATGACTCAATTGCACTTGCTTCATCAAACTTTTCAACGCATGCTTACCTGACAAGCACCATCTATAGTTGGACTGCAACTCGAAAACGCCTCGTGCAGTATTGCAATTGCGATCTTTTATATAGTGAGCCTCGTCAAGAACAATTCGCGTCCATTGAATGTGATGAAGAGGTGATTTGCCTTTTTCCTTCGGAAATGTGCTTTTCTTGTCATCGTTTTGGTTCTTTGAGCGCCAATTCACTCGACTTTTTGGCTTTTGAATTGACTTTTTCACATCGTCATCCTCCTCTTCTTCCTCTTCTTCACTCGTTTCACCAGCAGCTCTCTTTTTCGGCTTCTTTTTTGCTGCTTATTTTGAAGACTTGTCTTCTTTGCGTCTGGCCCACAAAAGTACTTGTTGTGCGATACCAATTTATCCGGCAAATACTTCTTGCCACAATACTTACACGCGACCTTCGACCAGCCAATTGTTTTACGAATCTCATTCTCGATAATAGAGTAAGTCGTCAGCACAATATCGTATGATGCAATTTTCGCCGCCAAGTCCAAACGCTTGGGACCGTGATGAATGTACACAGAAAGATGACCAGGTTCCACAAACCGCTCGATCTCGCTCTTCCACTGCATAACAGCAACAAGAGGGCAGACGACAAGTGTGCCACCACGTGCAATCGCAGCTTTTCGATCTCTAACAGCTTTGCCTTTTGACGACAAATCTTCCTCTCGAGGATTTTCCAGTATGAGCGCTATTGCCTGAATCGTCTTACCCATCCCCATTTCATCTGCAAGAATGCCGCCTTTGTAATCGCTTTCCTCCTGCCCAACCATCCACGCCAGTGCTTCTCGCTGATACGGGAGAAGGGTAGCAGTCAAGTACTTTGACGGCTGTTTCTCTGGCATCCGACCTTTCTTGTTAAAGTGGTCGTCTGCGAGTGGCACGCGTTCATCAATTACACCATTGATATCGTTTCGCTCCATGTACTCAAGGACAAGCTTCTGTTCTGCACATTGAAGCAGTGATAACCCATCAATCGGATCGTCATGCTTCTTTTGCGTAGATGTCTCAACGATATCATTGGTGTCGGAATTTTCTTTCGATTGCTTGGTCTCAATTCCAGCTAACAGTCCAATCGCTGTACATTCCAAGTGCTAATCACAAAAACAGACCAAAGAGATTGATGAGCGTACAGTGAGGGCGGTCGTGAATAAATGCACGCGTACTTTGTAGTATGTGGTGTCGCCAAACATCGAGTGACGAATGTTCACACCGACTCGGAGCTGCTTTACAAGAAGCTTTTGCTCGCAGCTTTTACACTGTTATATTAACACAAACGCACAACGTCAGAGCTAAGACGGTATATAACTACAAAATCACACGCACATGCTTACCTTTGCTCTTGAATTGGCCGCGTACTCAATGAAGTAGTGGGGACCGTCGTATACATCGACATCCTCTAAGCTTTCGTCCTCGCCAACAATCTCAATATCCAACGAGTCAGCGTCACTAATATGTGCATTGTCATTCGCAGCAATATGAGGAGAAGTAGCAGTCTCTTCTTTCACTCGGCGATTCACTCTGCTCTTTTGCTTCGCAGGAGATTTCTTCACCGCCGGACGCTTTCTATACAGCTTTTGTTTTTCATCATTACTAATCACTCTTGTCACATTGTTTTCTTCTTCGTCGTCTTCTTCTTCTTCAGACAGGCTCTCACCGACATAATCACTGTCATTGTCGTTGTCATCGTCGTCCTCGTCTTCGTCATCACTGAATTCAACTGCCACCTTCCGAGACGAAGTAAGACAAGCTGTTCGACCATTTGTTGGTAGTAGCTTGGCCTTTTTCTTCATTGCAGCCTTCCTATATTGGCACACAAAAGGCATACTATTCGTTTCTTGTCTTGCCTCTCGTTTTTCTTCCTTCTGCTTGGACCTTGTCGTCACACAACGTCTCTTGGGTATCACTTGTATTCGTTGCTCTATTACGTACTCCACAATCTCATTCCTCTTGTTCTTCCTATTATTCACAGCTTTATTATCATCACCTTTTGTTTCCTTATTGCAGTCAATACATTTCCAGGCATCGATCAATTGCGGTCGGCGACGCAGTGGAGGCGTAAGACAACCCAAATGGAAACGCTCGAAGCAGACTGCACAATTCATTGTCACACGTTGTGACTGTTGCTTGCATATCTTGCACACATTTACTTGATCCTCCATGCCTTTCAATTCTTGACGTTCTGAGCGTAACGTCACCATTTATACGTCTTGTCACGTGAACAATTGCCAACTGCGACCAGAATGACCGTCGAACAAACCAGAATGAATGTTTCGGGACAAAGAAAGGTCCGTTTTTTGGCGGGGACGATGCTTGAGTTTATTCACTTGGCGCTAGTAATAATGATTGGCTATTATCCTTTTTTTGCATGAAATTACACAGCACCTAATAAGGAGAATACACGATTTGTATTTGATTATTAAGAAATAGAGGAAGTACAAACTGGTTTGGTAAGTCATAATTGACTAGAAATGATTTTGTACTAGCGCAAAGGTGACAACTTGTGGCTTCTTGTAAGTGTGAGACGGTCATTAACGTCAATGGGCAAAGGATCCTGGAGGCAACACCAGCTTCTTTCGAGAGCGCAATGCGCTGTCAGTATTAATCTTCTCCAATAACAAACGGAACTGCTCCACCTCACGGTCAATTTCGACCTCCTCTGGATCTCGCCCCTCCGTCTCCGATTCGCCACCTTCATCTGTCAAGACAGATTGTTGCTTTGTCATCACAGACAGAGGCCTGCAATTGGACGGCGTGGACATTCTAGATAGAGTGCGAGTATCTTGAACATTCACCACCTTCTCTGTCGCCCGCTGTGCTGCAGTCTCTTTCTTGCGGCGCTTCTTTTCTTTCTTGTTTTTCTTCTTGCGACTGCTGCTGGAAGGTTTCTGACTTGCTTTGAGGTCTGCAAGCTCGTCTTGAAGCAGTTCAGCCTGTATTGCGAGCGAATGCTGTAATGCCTCTTGGTACGCGTCTTCCAGCTGTTGATCAGCAGAGTTAACACATCATGGTTAGCTCCGCGAGTTGGCAGCTCAGCAAGACGGCGATGACGTACCTGTTCTCTAAACTTAATAGCTAGCACTTCCAGTAGATACTCCTGTGCCAAGTGTGAAGTGTTTGCACCGGGGCATGTGTCATCACCATCGTCCTCTTCGCTGTCTCCACTTCCGTCGTCATCGAAACCCGACCGAAATGGTGACACATAGCTGAATTGTTCGCCACAGCGGATTAGATCCATAATGAAATCCGTGTGGTCTTCTCGAATAATGATATAGCGTTCTTCTTTCTGAATAAGTCGCAGCAATTCATCTTCTTGTCGCTTACCCACTTCTAATGCTGCCAAGTATTTATCCGACAGCATGCCCCCCGTGCAGCTGCCTCTTCGCCTACCTTCACGCTCCAGCTCATATTTAAACACCAATTCCTCCTCTTCTAACGCCAACGCTTCCGCAGCGAGCCGTTCTTCTTCAGATTCATTTTCTAATTCATCTACCTCCTCATCCTCCTCGTCATCATTCTCGTCATCGTCATCATCCTCTTCGTCATCATCCTCTTCGTCATCATCATCGTCATCATCTTCGTCGTCGTCATCTTCATCGTCTAAAAAGGGAGGAAAGACACTAAAAACATCTTGCAAAGAGCGACTGCCGGAGCGTCTTCGCTCATGATCCTCCCACTCTGCGATCACGTTGTCGTGACACTCGCAGCACAAGTTTTGCCCCACAAGGAACTGGTCCAGTGCCGTCAAATAGGTCTCCCGTCGAATCCGCAACAGCCGTCGCTTTGCAACGAGTGACAGTTCCCTCCAAAAATTAATGAGTTCCTCTCGTGTGTATCCTTTGGGTCCAGTGAGTCCCACTACGCTGTTGTTGCTGCTAGTGGAACCCGTAGAGGTCGCAGTGGTGGTAGTACTGACTAGTGTTGTTGCTGTTGATGCTAATCCCCCGTTACCTGCGCGCTCTGCTCGAGATATAAGTCGACTATTCATATCCCGTCCAAAATCGCTTTCAGTTGGCCATGGATTACTGCAACAAGTGACGAAGAGAAAGAGAGATGATACACTTTATGTCAACGCATTGCGTTACTCGCTATGAAGAGGGACAATGCTACACCATACCGATATTTACGTGCCAGCATAAATCCTGACGTTCGCCTTAAAATATGATGACGATGCAATTTTAGATCCGTCTTCGCTCCGGGCGTCTTTACATCACGATGAACGTGCGTCGTCGAGGACTTGGGTCGACGCACCATAATGGAATGACTTGCTCGATTTTATTTTGTGAATATGTGGTGCACATAAATATTTGAAAATGAAAAATCCGAAATAAACAACCGTCGTATTATTTTCAAATATGTCATCACTAGCAGCAGCCCAAGCTGATGGGTACTATTATCCATCCGAATGGCGACCAGAGTATGGCTCGCTTAACCAATTTCAACAGTCACATCCACTGGGAAAGCGTGCCAAACATTTGGTCAGTGATGGTGTATTGGTAGTGCGCTTTGAGATGCCATTCCATGTCTGGTGTTCGCACTGCAACGTGCATATTGGGCGAGGCGTGCGCTTTAATGCGCGAAAGAAAAAGGTGGGCCAGTACTTTTCTTCTGTCGTGTGGGAGTTTTGTATGAAGTGCGCGAGCTGCAGTAGTGAGATGATCATTAGGACGAATCCAAAAGATCGGGACTATGAGCTGGTGAGCGGCGTTGTAAAGAAAGCAGAGGCAGGGGGACGCCGAAGAGCTGCAGACGGAGCGTCTGAACGAACCTGGACTGGCTGCCAAGCTGCAGAGCGACCCTTTTATTCGACTTGAACATGAAAATGAGGATGAGAGAGCAGCCAAAAAGCGCTCGCGGGGACTTGAGGCACTTGTTCAGCTCCAGGATGCCGAGTTTAAGGACGACTTTGCCAGCAACTCGGCGCTCCGAGAACAATTCAGGAGAAAAAAGAAACAGCTTAAAACACGAGAGCAAGAGGCGAAACGGCTGGGAATTGGTATTCCACTACTTGATGTGCATCCGGATGACGTGTTGGTGGCTAGAACAGTCGTGTTCAAGGGCCTTCCGCAGAAGCGATGCGCCCCAAGCCATCGACGATCAGGGACAGAAAAGCTACGTTTTAGAAAACCTGCCCCAGCTGCGATTGTGGACTCGTTTCAACATTTTGGTGACTTTGCAGGGTCTCATCTACAGCGCCTGAAGATGGTTCGACAAGCTGCCAAGAGGCGACCTGCAAGATGATCAAGCAAACACGTTCATTTCCAGTCTATTGCACGGGTCACGCGCGCGAAAGAGTGGCCAACGACGTCTTTGAACTCAAGCGACAAGTTGTATTCAACCTTTTTTTCCATATATATCATCAAATGACCACTAGTCTGTGCAATTCAGTCAAGGGCGCCACAGAGGCGCGGAACGTCGTTGCAAAGTACGGCAAGTGACTTAAAGGCCCGGTCTTCGTCCCCTTGCCATACCCGCAGACACTCTCCTGCTGTCAGTACCATTTCACTGGAATAGTTTGTATCCTTGCTGTAAGCACAGTACGCCAACAGCACGCGCACAACACTTCTCTTTTCACTCTCACTTGTTTCTGCTGCGAGCTCGTCCACGTCCTTCGTAATAGACTCAAAATTATTGTGTGTGCCGCTAACAATAAATTCTTCGACATGCATCGACGTATCGGAAATACTCGAGGCAAGCTGGAGCAGTCGTTCGCCCTCAGTCTTGCTATCTTGATTCTTTGCTTGCTGCTCGTCTATATTATCATAGAATGCCCGGTCTTCTTCAAGCTCGGGCAACATCTCGTACTCATCTTCCAAGTCCGGTGGCTGGATTGTACCGCTCGCTTCGTTATCGTCTCCTAAATTTGCCTCGCCATTCTTCGGTGCCTCACTCTGCTGAGCCCCATCTAGCTGTATATCCTTCTCAAGACCCTCTGCCATCAGTTTAGCCCTGTGTTGCAGCTCCCGAATCGTTTTTGTTGGCCGAGCGGCCGTTTCAAAGACCGCGTTGAATTCGTCAAACACGTCGTCCTCGTCTCCATGTTGCACTACAAGCTGTGGACTCGTACTTGAAATGGTCTTCTTGGCAACGAATACGAGAAAAGCAATGAGTGCAGCCCTCGCTTGAGCCGTGGCGGCTGCCGCCCAGCAGCTCATGACAGCGGCACTTAGTGCCATCTTGGACGAGAGAGCGCGCAGCAGCGCTGCCTGTTGCGCCGCGCATTGTCGTTGCAGGGGGCGAGCCGCGCGGATGATGGCCACGAAGCGCACTTATTTGTGCTTGGATGACTGCATACACGGCTTCGGAGCGGCCGTGTACGCGACAGACGGACGATACGAGGTAGTTGCCCATACTCTAGGTTGGGTCCAAATGTATCGAGGTCTCTACTCCCGTAAGTTGAAGCGCCGCTTTCTACAAATTCAAGCTTTCTATTGGTCAAAAGTGACAGCTTACAAATAAGAGCGAAAAAAGGACGCGAACAAACTTAAATAATGGGCTCTTCACAAAACGATTACGCATCATGTTACCTATACAATATGGCTTCTTACAATTATTTTCTGAGAATGTCACTAATATTTCCCGGATAAAACATGGCAGAAAATCTTATTAGCCTTGACAATGATTGTTACTTTCAATCAAAACAATTAATTTTCTATCATAAATAAAATTAAATCGCCAGTTAGAGCTCTTCGTCACCAACTCGATGAACATAAAACAAACGGATGCTGGTCACTGTGACGTCGATGATACCATCATTCTTGCAATCACCAGCTGCAAACAAGATCCTCGGAATCTCATTTGTCGGCCCCACTTAAAAGCCGTCGAATCAAGTCATCATGACTGCAGAGACACTCAACACTATAGAGCGTGAGAACGAGACTACTGCTACACCCGTCACGAAAGCTCAAGATGCTCCTTTTGTCTACGAGACTCCTGGCTTTTTTGCCGAAGACTCTCGTGTACCATTATGGGCACAGACTCTTGTAACAAACGTCTTTGGTTTTGTGACGATTCACTACAATCTCTGGGGTGTACCATTCCTCGTGCTATTCTATTATTTGTACAAAATTGGCTATGGTTACGTACCTGTGGCACTCGCGACAATGTATCTGCCTTCGTATTTAAGTGGTGCTCAAAAGACAGCACAGGGAAATCCCTGGCCAGCCTTTCGCTCTGGACGCTTCTGGGGTCTCAGTGCCAAGTTTCTTGGGTAAGATGGATTGCTCGCTACTGCTGATTCTGTTTCTGCTGGTCAAGTAATTCACTGCATGATTGTGTGTTGTTTTTGCCCTTGTACTACAGAATAAAGATTATTCGAGAACAGGAACTCGACAGCAGCAAGAAGTACATTTTTGGCTATCATCCGCACGGCATCGTCGTCATGTCACGTGTTACAACCTATGGCGGTAACTGGGAAAAACTGTTTCCGGACATTCCAACGCTAGGTACGATGGGAGACTTTAAACCGTCGGCGGGTCATTGCGCTAACTTGGTCGCTGGCATTTTCTCATATTGACACAGCGCTGGGGGCATCGACCATGTTCTACGTTCCTCTCGGTCGTGAGATGTGTCTATGGCTTGGCAGTGTGGACGCCTCACGGTCCACGGCTGACAAGGTCCTGAACAACGGCATTAGTATTGCCGTGTACCCTGGTGGCGTGCCCGAAATCTTCAAGACGGACCCTTATTCCAAGGTGAACGAGCTCGTGCTAAAGAAGCGTCTGGGCTTTGTCAAACTGGCCATGCGTCATGGCGCGGATCTTGTTCCATGCTTTGTGTTTGGTGAAAAGTGGCTGTACAAGTAAGTAGTTTAGAATTGAGCTGTATTTTATGCATCGTGCTGATCTCGCGACGTTTTTTTTGTAGCGTGTGGAATCCTCCTCAAGGCGTCATCAACTTTTTTCGCAAGACGCTCAAAATACCGACGGTCGTCTTCTGGGGAAAATTTATGTGGATGCCTAAGCAGCCGCCTAAGGGTAAGCGCTTCGGCGTGGTATACGGCAAACCCATTCCTACCAAGTTGTCAACGAACCCTACAGAGGAGGAGATTCGTGTTGTACACCAGCAATACGTTGCGGAGGTCGAGCGCCTCTTCTCCCAATACAAGAAGGAGTTTGGCTACGATGATGACGAGACGTTGCTGATCAATTAGGTTAGGCGCGCTCTAAAGAGCAAGTTGAGCTAACATGATTGATTTTTTTGCAATGCATCGTTAGCAAAAGCAAACGTTGAGGTCGAGTCAACGGCGTCGATGGTTCAAGTGAATTTGCACAGTTTTAATTTGTGCTTGCGGTCCATGTAAAACATGAGGCCTACGCGACAGACCAAATTCGCCATGACTTACACAGCAATCTTAAGTGGTCCTCCTTCTGCTTGCGTGCGCACGCACGCAGTTGAGGTTGACAGCATCAAACTCGTTGGCATGTTTTAGCGAAACATCATCTTTATCTTCACGACCTTGGGCGCAAACTACGCCTTGACTTCCTAAAACTACTTCAACAGGTCGTCATGAGGCACTCCAACGTATAGCACCGCGTCAACCTGATACATCTTATCATGCGTCAACAAATTGCGTAGCTTGCTACGGCAGCGCGGTGGTCCTGATCTTCTGTATTTGTGGAACCCGAGAATTAATATCGATTCTAGAAGTTCACAGCCCGCTACTCGCAAAGCGTAGTATGCCTTATACCTCGGCTACGTCAGCGCTTTAATTGACCCTCTTCCATCTATAACCGAGAGTCTCGACACAGCATCAAGTTCTACAGACACAATCCGATGCAAGATGTGCCTGATTGTTCTATGTCAGAGCATTGCCTAAAAGACAACCTGATTGGAAAACCAATCACACTCGCAGCACATCTGCTTATGTTACAAGCTTGATCTGCTTTCATCCCTTATTCTACAAAGCATTCAAGTTGAGTTGTTCCAAATGTGTCATTAGAGACGACTTCAACGTCAGTGAGCGAATTTGACACCTCATTGACATACAACACAACTATCACTACAATCTGCTCTCTGCCGATGATGAGAATAACATGTTGTCAATGTCATTGCGTCGTGCTAACTGGTGTTGCTTGCTGTATGACAATGAAAATCCACGAATGTGCAGGTAGCAGGAGCGCTACTTGTATCGAGGAAATCTTGCAAGTCATTAGGAGAAACTTATACTTTCAACAGATTTTGATCTAAATAACTTATAGAAAGATTAGAAACTATAGTTAGCATGGCCTTCACAAAACAACATTTGTGGCAGATTTTGTATCAGCTTTATGACTGTTCAACCTGCTGGTAGAGCTACTGTCATGGTGTAACCCTGTTACATCGTTGCCCTCACGGATCGCCGAAGACAAAACACTTAGCTGATGCCTGATGTCCTAGTACCAGTAGCATGAATGCGTATCCTGCAGTCGACTTGCGGTCAGCTAGATCACCAGCCCAGTCCGCGTCCGAGTATTCACGAAAGTCAATCCTTTCACTCGACTTTTAGCAGTTTTAATGCACCTTGGTGACTTGCAGATACCGAATATACGCTTGACCACAACCCACTGCTCGGTGACCACCCATGATGGTGGCCCAAGTTGTACAAGTGGGTTGGTACTTAAGTACAAACGTGTGAGACGTGTCAACGGATGAAATCCTCGCCTATCATGGCTGCGCCTTTGGTGAGTTTACCTGTGCTTTCTGGGTTGTGGTAGTCCATAATATGGACCTTATGTCTGGCCTACCGCGTAAAGTGTCTGCCACATTAGTCTGTTTTCCCGGCTTATACTTCACCTCGAAGTTATACTCCGCGAAAAGGAGAGCCAACGAGCCATTCTCTGCGAGAGATGAGGCGACTGTGTCGCTGTGCGTAATGACGCATGATCGGTATAGATCACAAACGGCTTTGAGCCCAACAGGTGTACCCTGAACTTAACAAGGGCATACTTCGTCGCAAGTAGCTCTTTATCATGAGCTGGATAGTTCTTCTCTGCAGCTTTCAGCTGGCGAGACTCAAACGCGATGACGCGTTCTCGACCCTCAGAGTCAACTTGCAAACGTGCACTGCCAATGGCAAAGTCCGAAGAGTCACATACGACGCTAAACGGGCGATCAGGATCAGGTAGAGCCAGAATTGGCGCCTGAAGGAGACTCTCCTTAATGGCTTCAAAAGCCTCGTGGTGCTCGGTGCCAACACCATCCACATCCTTTTTAAGGAGATTGGACAATGGCCTAGCCACTTCCGCATAGTTGTGGCTATACTTGTGCAAGTAATTTGCCAAGCCCAACCACTTGCGGAGGTCCTTCTTGTTTCTCGGAACCGGCCAATCCACTATGGCTTTGACCTTAACAGGGTCTGCCCGGATTTCTTGCTTCCCAATGAAGCATCCCAAAAAAGGAAATCTCTTCCGCACCGAAGATGCATTTGTCAATATTGGCATATAACTTATGCATCCTTATGCAACCGAGCACAGCTCGCAGGTTCTCGATGTGGTTCTTCACATCAGTCTTGTCATTTTCGGCTTGACTATGGACGAATGTATCGTTAAAGTATGTGTGCATACGCCCTATGGGGCCGAAACAACTGCGTCACTAGACGATTGAACGTTGCAGGTGCGTTAGATAGCCCTTGGGGCATCACTAACCACTCCCAGAGCATGCATCTCGGAGTGCTAATCGCTGTCAGCGGGATATCACTATCGCGCATGAGCAGTTGGTAATATCCATCGACTAAGTCGAGAACACTGTACATCGTACATCTCACCATATTGTTCTGAAGAACATCCTTACGAGGAATCGGTGTTTGAGCCGGGATAGTGGCTGCATTCAGCTTATTGTAAGCATGCACAATTCGCCACTTCCCATTTGGCTTTTTCACACAAAACATGGGCGTCGAGTGAAAAGACTTGCTCTCACGCACCATGCCAGCCGCATGCTTTGCACAAAAGAACTCGTCAATGACGTCACATTGTTCTCGTGGCAGCGGCCACTGTCGGATCACGCAGTACTTTATTTCTGGAACCAAGTCAATTTCATGACGTACACCTCTATCCGGAAGTAACCTCGTCGTAGGTTTTTTCTAGAGACAACATCGCCATACTCCTTCAGCATAGGAAAGTATGGATGTCAAGGGATCCTTCAGGATTGTTGATCCACTGCGCGCGTTCAGCGCCTTCTTTGTATCTTTCAAGCTGCTTTATACGAAGCGATGAGCCGTTCATCTACTCTTCGGGTCGTACAATGACCACTTCGGCGGTGTCGCCTGTCTGTAAGGCACTTCCGAGCTCGTTAAAGGACAATTCGTCCAGCTCTAACAGAGCACTTATTGCGGGTATAGCTGAATGATCCACCGACTCTTCAACATCCCCAGTCAAACCTTTGATGAGTGCATAAGCTGTTTTCTCTCCCCGTCTCTCACGGTACAGCTATCGCTACTCTTGATGCTCTCAGCATCCGACGCAACAGCGTCCACAGGTGTAAGCCTCAAGATCACATTCCGCTATGTTAACTGACGGCATCTCACCCTCTTGGGTCAATGCCTCGTCATGAGGTGCTTGCACCTCGTTGTTATTATAAACAAATGTCATTATTGACTTTACACGACCCTCTCGGACCAGACGGTACTCAAAGTCTCTATAGACTTAAATGTAAAGTTCTTGGATTTAACAGCATGGAACGCTGTTTGGTCTTGACATGGATGCGAGGTATGACCTCATCTTAGGCATGGCATGGCTTGAGCGCCATGAGCCATGGATTGATTGGAGGTCAAAGACCTTAGGCGCAACACGCAATGCTTCTGGTGGGGCTCTGTAGAGTCATGAACTCACCTCTGCAAGAAAGCAAAAGCGCTTTTTGGCGCGGTTATTGGACCGAATCGGTCAACACGATTAATGTCGATTGATCCGACTTTTAAACAATGTAAGTGTCGAGGACAATAGTCCTGGGCGCGGCCCAAGACCTGTCGATTGTGTGGTTGAGAACCCACTAGATGGCATATATGACATGCGTCATGAGAGTGATGATACATCATTAAACACCGTGAGTGGTATTGGTGGCTGCAAGCCACGATGTTAGGACAAGTTCCCAAGTGACATAGGTGACGAGGTACTGACCCTGGAGGGTCGGGTGACGTCACAAATGGATGTTGTCTTTGAGGAAAACGAGGTGCATGCATATGAATACGCGTACCCGTCGCTTATCAAAACTGTGTCACTTCCACGCGCTCTCAGCGCTTCATCATATTGCTGAATACTTTCCACGGTGGCACGGCGAGCATAGTTGTCCAATATCCCCAACCAATCAAAATGATCCATGGCTCATTAAAGTCCTTGATCGCTCCTTCGACGACCAGAAAGCCTCACTTGCATTTTTGTTCCGTTTTAGATAGTTGAGATCTCTTTGGGGCTGGGCTTTGTTTACTTCAACTTCCTAGAGGCTCAACAGAGCTCAGCTTTTCCCTGTAGCCCCCCCGCGCCTACTAGGATCCGCTGATATCCGTGGCAAAATACGGGTTTATCCGCGGGGATGGGTATTTCGAGGCCAAGCATGCCTTTTTTTCAGGTCATATTGGCATCAAATGGTCTGTGCTTTTGCAGATATAACATCAGTTCACCTTTTCTTCTCCTCAGCTTGAAGCTTTTCTTCCTATATTTGACTACAGTACATGGTTATAGGCTCATCAGACAAGTAGTTATAAGTGGAAGACCTAGTGGCCTTAAGGTTTATTTCAGCATTCAATGCCACTCAAACAGCTTCCTTAGCAAGAATGGGTTTATACGAAAGACTTTTGTTCTACCAACGCCAACTCGGAGGCCTTCCATAAAGACTGTGACGCTCACTGCCTCACGCAGACGGTCACTGAACATGGCGGCAATAAGAGCTCTCAACTCTTGCACATATGTCGCAAGCTTATGCTTACCTTGGCGACACGCCAAATATCGCAACCTGGTTCGATGCTCTTGATTTGGTGGTGCAAACTGCCGGTCCATATGAGCTTCAGATCGGCCCATGTTGAAACATCATCTTGCAGTGATGCACCGCGTGTGAATGCCCATCGCTTCGTTAAGCCACCCAACCCAAACCTGTGGCAACGCCAACACGGTATGATTCATATGTGATGTCGGGTATAGACATAGCCGACTTAACCTGTCGGAACCACGACACAAGGGTATCTATCACCTTCTTTGCCGTCGAAGTTACCGACTTCCATCGGAATGGGTTTGATCTACGAACCACTTCTTGCGCCATGGTCACCCAAGGCGACGGTGCAGGTGAAGGCATTTGTGCTTTCACGTGCTTTACAAGAGAATTGTTGTATTCGTTAAGCATATATATATACGCTTGTTGACCTCTTCTTTGCCCTGGGCGATGAGGAGTTCCACGACCATTGCGCCAAGAATAAGGAGCAGTTAGTGCAAGCCTTCTTGTTAAGCCTGCAATAGGCCAACCGCGGACAATGATTACCGCGCTTGGTCCACCGTGACGCATCGGCAATCTGTTACCCAACCTTAGTGGTTTTGAAGACCATGCTTGTAGCTCTTTGGCAAGATTAGCAGTCACGTGGGGCGGTAACGACATCGTTCAACTTGCGGCACCTTTGCCTTCGTTGGAACATTCTACAGCTTACAGAACTCGCGACCCAGAGCTGCCGGCAGTTGGGCCAGGGGTAGTTTCACGCTGATGAAACTCTATTGCAACGTTAAGACGGGCATGCCAGATTGTATTCACACCATCAGGGGCGATAGATAGCATTGAAGGTCCTTCTACGACTCCCATCCATCCCTATGGAGGTCAATATTACTCTGCGCCGCAGGAACCATCATCCATTCAGAATGTCTGTACGGAAGAGGATGCGCGTGAGATGGATAACGACGCCTTTTCGGAGCAACCATGGGATCGATCGTCTTACACTCAAGATCAGCTGCGATCAATGACACAACAATCACATGTTCTAGTTTGTATGCTCCATAATCGTATCGACAACGGTACTTTTGTGTGCAAACGAGTCGGCTCACATCAGATTTTCCCTTCTCGTCATCAAGTCCGACTCATGACGGAAAAATCTTCGACGAATTTTGCACATCTTTTACCTCCGTCCTGGACGAAGCATGTACAAATGTGGTTCGAAGATGATATTCCATCGTTTGATGTTGGTGGTTTTGTGGTTGGTGGTGCGTCTTGTAATGATACTTAAATCCCGTGTCTTCTTCTTTGACGCTGTTGACTCGTACTTGACTCCTTTGCCATGCACAATACACCTGTACATTTGTCTATATAGAGACTGAGGAGACAGCACTACTATTGGGCAAGTCTGAGGGTATTCTAGCTGGTGTTCCATTCTTTAATGAAATCTTTCATACACTTGGATGTCACGTGGAGTGGCTGCTCAAGGAGGGCGACGAGATTCGACCGAAGAACGTCCCTGGAGGCAAAGTGCCCGTAGCTAAAGTCACGGGCAAGTGTAGACAGCTGCTGCTAGGTGAACGAACAGCTCTCAATATCTTGACACGTGCCAGCGGTGTGGCCACACAGGCCAAACGTTCGGTGGAGCACGCACGTGCGCTGGGCTGGAAAGGCCACGTTGCCGGTACTCGCAAGACGACGCCAGGTTTCCGTCTCGTAGAAAAGTATGCACTGCTGGTAGCCGGTGCCGCAACGCACCGCCATGACCTGTCGCAGATGGTCATGCTCAAGGATAACCATGTGTGGGCTGCTGGGAGCATTACTAAGGCTGTGCACAAAGCCAAGCTGGCTGCTGGTTTTTCGATGAAGATCGAAGTCGAGTGCCGTCGTCTTGAAGAAGCAGAGGAGGCTGCCACAGCTGGGGCTGATATCGTCATGCTGGACAACTTTGAGCCGGAGCAACTCAAGACTACGGCTGCCAAGCTCAAGAAGCAGTTCCCACACGTGTTGATTGAGGCCAGTGGAGGCATTACGCCTGCGACGCTTGGTCAGTATATCTCGCCCAATATAGATATCGTGAGTCAGGGTAAACTTACGCAGGGCTACCCGTGTCTGGACTTTTCGCTCAAAATTCAAAAGTCGGGCGGTGTATTGGAGCAGTGATTGCTATGCGACGGTCATCTGAGAGGAAAGTAGCATTTACGTAAACCTGGAGCCACTTCAAGCGTTGGTCTTCATCCTGTTAGCAATTCAACAAGAGAGAAAATCCAGAGTCAAAAGCATTCATATAACTGCTCCTTACGCCTAGCCAATTGCTCCACATCGCTTGCAGTGTTTCTGTGATTACCATAATTTGTTTTACTGTCTTTTTGATGAGCAGTTTGCTCATCGAGCTGCATCAAACGCACGATTTTCGTCAGCCATGCCCACACAGGTTCAATCGCGTTCAGAAATTTGTCCTTTGACTTCGTGTTTGTTGCCCGCCACTCGAGCTCGACTAATACTTGCGTCACGAACTCCACTTGAAAAGGCCTAGTAGCATAAACAAAGGAAAAAATGAGTTACTGAAGCATAAATGCACGGTCTGAGTGGCGACAGTGCTTACCGCTTAGCCTGAGGTGGCGTAAAACGTCGAAAAATGTACTCGACGGACTTGAGAACATCAATTGTGGCTACATGTATAGCACCTTCTTCACTCAGAGATGCACGAGTCTGTAATTCGGTGTCGATGCTTTTCAGTAGCCAAAACCAAACGAGACGAAGGCGCACAACGGGAAGAATACTGAAGTCAGCACGACTTCGCCTCAGCCATTGCGCTCCACCAAGAATATCAGATTCCTTGAGCTGTGACAATGTCGTCATCAGTAATGAGGCTATCTCATCAACAGACTCGGAGTACAAAAACGAGTAAAACCAGCTGAAGAATTGCACAGAACTTCGAGCTGCACTTTGGTCCACGTTGTGCTTGTTATCCACGTCGCTGTCTGTATCAGCGCGAAATGCAAGCTCCAGCGCTTCATGAAGCAGATAAGATCGTTCTAGCACTCCGATCCACTCGTACTGCCATTCAATGTCTGAAGCGCTGCGCGCTTCTTGAAGGTGCTCAAGATTGGTGCTCAACCTCATGAATGCTTGCTCTTGCTGATCGCATGGCCAGCTTCCTGGCGAATAATCCACCAGCAGTACGTGATTCAACAATTGTCGCTTGAAAAGGTGAGCAGCATTCTCTTGTCGTATGCTTCGGGATAACACATTCACCAGCTCCATGCTACGACACGATGAGAGCAGATCCACATGACAACGACACCACTCGATAAATGTAACGTACAAGTGCGAATGTCGCTGACAAGCCGCTACCATAGAATTTGCATCTGCACCATAGCAATGCTTAAGACACCAGCCATCAGGCAGCATAGAGCTCATGGGATCAAACGGTGCCCGATGAGATGCCAGCATCCAAGTCTGCAACTGCGATTGCCAGCTCGGGAGATGGTTTGCCCACACACAAATTCTGCTTCCGAGAGTCAGCGCGTCAAAAGGTCGCTGTCCACGCCGCGCCCTGTGCTCATTTATTCGCCCATCCACATGGGACTGCCTGGACTGTCGATTGAATAATCGCTGAAGGAACACGCTTCCTAATCGTAACGTCTCGGACTTTCCTGACAACGCAGTCTCTGCAAACTGAAGGAACTGCGTATCATTTTGTATCTTTGCCGCACACATATCCAAGACATCCGAGAGCATGGAACTTTCCTCTTCAGACTTGAGTGCAAGTAGCAGCAACTGATACAACTCCATCTCTACATCTGTGACTCTCCACGGTGCTGCTACGAACAGTTTAGATTGCATCTGCTGCAATGACTTGGATATCGTTAAACCTTGGAGTAGACCCTCAATTCTGCTGTTTTCTTGAACATTCCATAGCATCTGAATTGCCCATTCTCGAGCTGAAGAGAGTCTTGTTACAGTCTGTAGCGGAAGCTCCTGATCAATAGGAAACTCAATCATCTGCAGCACTGCAGCTCAAAACAAATGGCAGCGTCAAGAATGCCTCGATAACTAAAACAACTTCATACACTTGATGCCCAAGTAAGAGCAAGATACTCACGCACAGACATCAATTAGTTCTTGCAGCTGTGTAGCATGAGCTTCAGGGTCTTTTAATAATTCATCCAGTGCTATTAGTACTAAACATGGAAACTAATGGACATTTTATCATTGTATGAGAGAGCATACTCCTATTCATTCAATTGGAAAATGACAGTCATAAGTATCGATTACAAACCTCTGGTGTCTCAAGTGCTGCCTCATACGTTTCGAAGCTCTGAAGTGCTGCTTCCATCAAGTCCCACGTCTCGACTCCACATGCGTCTTGAATCATGGTCAAAGTTGACAATAGGAATGACTCTTGTTGTAATTATTGTAGATTGTAGATTGAATTTTGCAACAAAAACATTTACATTAATCATAGTAGTACTAATAGTAGTAGTAGTACTCACAAGATAGATTACTATTTTATGCTAACAACGCATATCAGACTAGAATGAGATGATACCAAGGTCTTGATGATTGATGTGATAAGTGACCAATGTTTGAGCTTCTACCTCTCCAACATGGTAACTTCCTGTGAATTCCTTCGGATCCATGTGCAGGTATAATTTATATGGCTGTCTACCATTATAGTAATGGGCTGGAATCGTGTCAGCGACAAATGAAAATGGGTGAAGAGCTCTGCATGAATTTCTGTTACGGTTTGTTCATTGTTATAAGCTGCAAACTCTTTTCATCGATCGAGACGCAATCCCATGAGGTTGTGCTATTCGCATACTCACTCATTTTGCTTCGGTTTCGATAGGAAGGTCAGAACGCATACCCCACTCCGACCACGATCCATCGTACACAGGAGCTCTGTAGCAGCAGCAAAAAGCATACGATCGAGTTAGAACCATCAACACGGCGATCGCAACAAGAATAGTGTGTATCTCACTTCTCCAGTGGCTTGCCAGCCAAGTGCAGGCCGAAAGTGAGAATGCTCGCAGTCACTCCAGATCCGCAGCTATCGATGCGAAATCGCAAACAGGTGCATGCCGTATTAAAACGAGAAATAATTACGGCTTAAAGCAAGCAAAAGATAGTAGCACTCTAGTATACCTAGTGATGACTGGGCTAGTCTCGTCCATCTTCACGTCTACAAGTCATCCACATAGCATCGTTAAATAAAGGGAAGATCACTTTTGAGCATACTGACATCAATGCACGTACTCGCTTCATTAAAAGCGCTCTTGATGTCAGCGACGTCTCGGAAAAGCTATGCAAAACAAGACACAAGGCATTATGTTAAGTTGCGAGATTCTCACCTTCGCATCCTGGCAACTACGAACTCACCGAAAAATCCTTGGAATCGACAATCTTGCCAAACGGCACATTGATAGATCCTGGAATGTGTCCACCGCGCATTCCCGGGCGAGGCTCCTGCATTGAGCGCAAAAATGATTTACCAAAAAAAGCTTCGACCCGAAAGCACCAGTGTGATCAACGTACAGGCTCCTTCGCATAGAAACGCGCGGCTCCCCGGGCGTCCACAATCTGCGTGGACGATCCAATCTTGGCTAGCACGTCCTCCCATGATACACATAGAGCCTCGTTGGGTTTCGATTTGTAAGGGGTACCCGCGACTACTTTCTGTGGCTCTCCCGTTTCAACTTGACGCTTTTCCTTCTTCCACTTGGTGATGCCGCCTACAAACATAAGAAAGAGTTTCGTACAAAATCCACTTCCTTTCTCAACTTGCTACAGCCTCAATAGACTTACCGTTAAGAATGTGAACGCTGTCGTGTCCAAAGTACTTGAACGTCCACCAACAACGTGCTGGACTGTGTCATAGTAAGTGTTAGTAGTATGCTCTTTACTTCTACCTCCAAGATCATTAGTATAAAGTACCTGAAACAATTCTGACCACCGTAAATAACCACAGTGTCATCGTTTTCCACCCCCAAGTACATCATCGCATGCTCAAATGTCTTTGCTATTGTACTCAATCGTTTTAGTCAATAAAACTCATTCTCTTCGTTCTGCTATAGTCTATACTACGTACAAGTTGGAAGCATATGCGGAAGTGTTGAAGTCACATCTGAGATCTGTTCTATATCAAAGAACTGAGCACCTGGAAGACGTTGTAGTGCAAACTCCTTCTTGGCATCGCGAGTCTTGTCCAAGTACCAAGACGCATCAAGAAAACGCACGCGCTGGTCTTGTGCATTCTGCAGAAGCGTTTGTACCTCATCCGTAGACACAAGAGGTGACAAGGAATTGAATGAGATAGAAGAGATACGGGAGGATTTACTCATGGTCTGAAGCAGGACGGACGATGAACGGCGAGCAATGATGAGCATGATGATGATGTGGACAAGAGATTTTATGGTCAGAAATGTAATTTTCTGTATCTCTTGGCTATTTTGATAGAAATCATAAACGATCCATGTTGAAGTTCGATCTTTGTCACGGTCTTAAGTTCGTTTTGCGCTCGATACTTATGATGCGCACCTATTGACATATGCGTCCGCTACTAGAACGATATACAAGAGCATAATGGGGTCAATCGATGACGTAAACACTCAATTGTACATGCTAAGGTGCAGATCCGATTATCGCATTGTCCACAGCTAAAGGTGAAAGAGAAGTGGCCGTATTGAAGCAATTTTTACAGCTGAAGCGAAAGAGACGTGGCTGCATGTGAGCAAACGTTACGACCACAATCCAAGTGTCATCGACTGTGCGTTCACCTGCTAAACGTGAACATATTTTCAGTGCAGCTAAGGTAGATCATGGTCATGGTCAAGCAAATGAGGTTCTGTCAGCTAGCACAACGCAGCATTCTTTCTGCGTGCAGGGCAAAGCCAGTCAGTGCTTCTTCTTCCTCAGCATCTTTATCTTCTTCGCATGTTTAGCCGAATTCATATGTCCATTGTATTTCTTTACGTCCCGAAACGTGAGACCACAAGGTTGGCAAACCGTCTTTATAGGTAATGCAGCTGTGCTTGTTTTCAGTGCTCCCTGTCGAACTTCCGTTAGCAATTGTACATACCAGAGCACTGTCATAAATATCATACCTTTTTTACAACTCGCCCACAAACAGATCCAACACTACTCAGCGCCTGAAAGGATTCCTGATACGGATCAGCCACTTTAATGTTTTCGTTTGGAGTAAAGATGAAGTAATGAGCTCCAGTTGTGGATGGTGGCTCGCCTCGGAACGATGCCGGGTGCGTTCGCTGCGGCTCGTAGCCGGAGTAGATGCTCGCGTCAAACACCTCCGTCCTGTTATCATCACCAAACGAGACTGTCATACGAGCAACAATTTGCTTCCACGCATAAACAATACACGTACCGTTTCAGCTGGAAACCACTCACTGCGGCCTGCTCTTGAATGTTCCAGCGATTGTAGAACAACGTGTTACGAAGTGATACAAGCACTTGTCCACGAGTGGGGTGCAAATACTGCCGAGTCGAGTAGAAGAATCCTCGTAACAATTTCTGGTTGTTTGCCACATCTGCCTCCGTCGCGCCGCCAAGATGCGGGAAATTAAAGGCGATTGAGTGGAATGGCTGAGCACTATTGAGCCATTTCTCTTTCTCCAGACATGTTGCGTCGACACTAAAGTGTACTTGAGCCTTATTATATTATAATCAATAGGTCAGTCAAAGACCGTCGTCACCATAAGATTATTGTTCGATTGCAGCCGATACAAACATACCCCTGTAGTCTCCAGAGCGTCACAATTAAGCAATGCACTCGAGTATTTCTCCTTCAAATCTTCTTTCGAGTCATAGACAGTGGCAACTAGATTTTTTCCTCCCTAGATACACACATAAACAACCATCAAGAGGATCTCAATCAGCAAATACATTATGGCAATCTACAGTCTCATGCGGCCGACCACTAACCAAAAAGACCGCGAGAGACAGAGAAAAGGAAAAATCCCCGTCGCCAACCACCAAAATGTGTTGACGGTCACTAAATGGGCCTAAACTCTTTGGATTTGGGTTGGAAGACGCCGTGAGAGAGAACACAGCGTTCGTCTGTAATTTGGCCGAACGAATCTGCTGAATGGCGGCGTTGGAACTAGTAGCTCCCACGTGTTTCTATGGAATACATTTACATGCAATGAAAGAGTGGACGTATAGTGTAAATAGCAGCAGTATATGAAGGTTAACTGATGATGATATACAATAGGTTATGCACATACTTTGTTATTGCGGTGACGTTTCTTCTTGTCAATAACATGGACCTTGGCCATTATTGTGAATTAATCGATTCGATTTGATAGGTTTTAAATATAACGACAACATTTGAATTTGTATGAAATAGTCAGAATCAGAAGTGAAAAATGTCGATAGAGAGACCTTGAGTTAATTTACTTGCAATCCATCATCTTTCGTGTCCCATAATTATAAGGCCCACCTGTTATTAGAACCTGGTAATAACATCCTTTGATCTTGTCATTTGTCATTCCTCACTCTTCTTTTCGATAAGTAGTAATCGCAGGGATACGATAACGTGATTATTGGTGGTGGTGGTCTTATGGGTTGTGTGATTTTATGCTGTTGCATAGCAAAGGATCAAGCTTCCAGTCAAGTCGTTTGAATGGCCTAATCCAATGACATTAACACAAAATGGAGTTTGACGTCGTTAGAGATTGGGAAAGAGACTGGCGATTGAGAAGGTCCGTATGACGGGATATGAGCTGGACATTGCATCGGGCAAATCGATGAGCTGCGGGTTTTAGAAGAGACAAAGTGCCGTTTTGAGTGCTTACGAGAGAACAAGTAGACGAGCGATCCTCTGGCTTCGCGCTGCCCAGAAACCGCCACAAAGTGCTTGACTTCGATGGCTGGGGTACTGAATGCCACGCTAGTAATAGACACGGCTCAGCAAATGGCCAAGGGACAGAAGAAGGAGATCCAAGAGCACAGTCTAGTGCAGAGTGTGGCTAACGAGCAGCAGACTCGACGTTCTCTGTTGGTTGTTGTCATTTTAGCTGATGGAATGGATGTTTGCGGCTATCAATGCATTCCCACGGCAGGCGCGTGGACGGGTAATGTGTTAAAGTCGGTGCCGGACAAAGTGACGCTGCAGCCGATTGCGACATCGAAGCGTACTAGAAGTGCATGCAGGAGTTGTATTCACTCTGACAAGTTCTCTGTCTCCATCAAGTACGGATATTCAAAGTTTTGACGGCCTTCTGATGATGCACGCTCACGAAGGAGTGAAGAGTGCTGCCATGATGGACCGGTTGTCAACGCGGATGAACGTGAAAGTGTCACGCGCCTGTGGCTGACTAAAGGCACTTGCAAGTTTTCATGCTGAGAACTTCGTCCAAGTAAATCTAGTATTGCCAACAAGTGGGTCACTGCGTGTGTACCACTACACCGAACGCCGACTTCGTCATGACCCTTTCATGATACCCGTGATCGCTAATTTTGGTGGCTGTAATGATAAAAGTTGTGGTGGGCTAGCTTTGACGGTCATGGCACAAAATGACCCTGGTGATCGGTCACATTCTTATTGGCTTTTAAGGGAAAGACAAATCAGCTTTGCGCAGCTATTTAGCTGCGTATATGGACGCTTAAGATGAAGTACTTGTCACGATATCGTTGGCCAAAGATTTAGAAACGTAGCATTATCTACATCGTCCTTTCTGACACTTTTTTATGGTCCATTATGGACAACTAAAGCGTAATGGAGCCATGAATAAAAGGCTTTATTTTAACGTAATTCAAAACAAGTTTGTTAATAATAATCCACTTTATATTATTAAAGCAACTACTATAAGTAAAACGTCCCCTAAAGATTTGCTCACTTCATTTCGCAACTGTGCTTTATATTACCACTTTCTAATTCAAAACAGACGCTATCTTGTCGATTGCATTGAGGAAGATAATGAGCAACACATTCACCAAGCCACCAATGCCTGTTACAGGGCTGCATGCAGGCAGTAAAAGTGATTTTGGTGACGATCTGGATGTAGAACAACTCATTGAACGTAATAGATGTCATGCAGATTACTATGAACTAGAGGATTGTCTAGCAGAGTTTGATCGCGACTGGACAAAGTGCCAGGAACAAGTCAAGAAACTGAAGCAATGCAACGATCGGGTTACCAAGTTACGTCAAGCACAAGACGCTGCCACTAATAGCCATGGTAACCACTAAAGAGAGAGGTACATGAACCCCGCACTTGGAGCTTTTGTATGGAAAATCCTCATTCGATTTACACATACAAGCATTCTCTTCACGCAATTTGCTGTTCTACTTGCTTTTGATCTTTCTTCAGTCAGCGGCAGGATTCATTATGCCGTTCGTCGTCTTCCTAAATGGAAAAATGAAAGGGGAGGGGGAGTGTATCTTGTTAAAAAGGGGCTTCGACCGTTCGACCTTCGTTGCCACCCGCTGTACCGTCCGTAGTGGTGACACCACCTTCCTGACCGTCTTCCTCCTGCTCATCTGACACATACCAACCGTCCATGGTGTCTATGTCCATTGCAGTGTCCTCATCACGGCTTTCCTCTTCCATAGCTAGCCGTGCGTACTCGGCACGAGCGTACCGGTCCCAGTCTCTATACAGCAGAAGCAACAATCCACCGTTAACAGCCATTTAGAATTGTTCGTGACGAAGCAGAATCTTACGTAAGCTCCGGTTCGGCAATTTGCTGACGCAGCAGAAATGGATCTCGTTGCTCAAACTCGATGAACTTGCTAAGATTGAACAGCACGTTAAAGAATACGCCCGATACGCGGATCTTATCCGGACGAATAAAGTCCTTGTGGTAAAATTCGCCGTCCTTTTCTGGATGCAACAAATCCGACATCTGGCAAAGAATGTCCTCGAAGGGCACCACCTCATGGCCAAGGCACTCCATGCGATGTATCTGGTGACGGTAAAATATCCGCATCTCGTCGGCACGCAATACACCGTCTTCGTTCGTGTCAATAAGCTCGAACCAATACCTAATACTAACAGGATTTGCTTTATCCTCCTCCGAGAGCATAAAGTCTAATGAAAAAGAATGGTTAGCACTGACTAACGCGCAGACAATCAAAGGTTCCAGGTTACTTACAAATGAAGTCCTCGTAGCTCATCTTCTTTTTTTCCTCGGCACTTAGCGTCTGAACACGAGCAAAAAGGACGCCGCCCGCGTTCGAAGATGCGGTCTACAATGATACGTGTAAGGGCGTGGCCACCATAGCGTACGAGGTCATCGGGACTGAGAAGAAAGTCATGATCCGTGTCTAGCTCCCAAAATTTGCAGTACAGCACGTAGAAGTGCTCGTATGAGAAGTACGAATTCACCTGCATTCAGGCAATAAAAGATCATAAGCACAAATGCGTTCAACATCAACGACTGCAAATTATTGCACATACCTTATTAATGTCTTCTTCCTCATCTACAGTGTTGAATGCATTAATAAGATTGCTGCGTCGCAGCTTTCGCAATGTAATCCGCCCACTGCTGTCTCTATCTACCGAGTAAAATATCCGCACGACGACCGTCAAGGCTGCGCAAAATACACACAAGCAAGTCGTTATTTCTATCACCCTTTAGTCGTGACTACAAGTACAGCACTCTTCTTACCATATTTTTCCTGAAATTCAGGAGTGCCCCCAAGAAACTCAAGACCAGGGTGATACTTCAGCAATTCTGTTGACAAAATGGTCAGTAAGTAGCAAATAGCGTACAGAACTCATTCAGCGCTCAGCCGCACCATGCAAAAATGGCGCAAAGTCGTCTCGCTCTATAAAGTCATTCTTCGGTTGCTTCACCTATCAGTACACAGCGATAGCCATCAGTTCCCGATCACAAAAGACATCGATACGGCAAATATAGCGCACGACCACGTACTACTCTAAAAAAGCGCTCCAAGCTGTCACAAGGAGCCATTTCGCGCATCCAGTAATTTTGAAACATGTCCTTCGTTATACGCTGCGGTGTCGCACCGCCGTCAGCGCTCGTGGGACTAGATGCATCATCTGCTGCAGGACTCAATGGCGACTTCAGCGTTGTCTCTCCTACTTGCTCGCAGGTCGCAAGGATGCGTCGAAAAAACGGCGCATTGAAAAACGAAGGAAAGCCGCACAGATCCTTGGTAATAGCCACAAAATCTTCAACCTTCATACCCTCCGAAAACTCACGAAAGTGCGCCTCAATATCCGATGCCTTACGCGCCATAGCGTCCGTGGATAGACCACGTAGCCGGCCACGTCGCCCTTCACCTGGCGCGTAAAATTTGGGAATCTGAACCTGCTTCGCGGCACCATCGTCCATAGGGTGGTCAAATTCGTCTGCTCCAGGCTCTTCGTTGGAAGCTTCTTCTGTTGCCTGCTGCTCCTCCTCCATATTCTCATCTGCATCCGCAGGTGGCGCAGGTGTTGTCGTTTCTACAGATTCCTCGTGATTTTCTGCTACTATTTCACCAACGCTTTCTACTTCATTGTTGTCACTGGCAGTCTCAATCTCGCCACTGGTCATATCTACGTCGTCTGACGTCGGAATCGAATCTACAGCAGCTACTGTCTCAGACTTATTCACTGCTTCCATATCCACTGTAGCAGCAGCTACTGCAGCAACAGCGTTGTGAAGCTCGTCTCCAAAGAGACTGACCAGATGTTGCTGACGTCTGCGCGCACTGGGACTGCCGACTGAGCCAGGGCTGAGCAGCCCAAACTGATGATAATTAGGTGGAGGTTTGGGACTGCGCGAGGGTGAGTCAGCTCCGCTTGCCATCGTGTTAGTTGTAGCTAGTAGCGTGTCCAGATTAAGTTCCTTACCCTGCCGTAAGTCTGCTACCATGGTCTGAATCATCTCCTTTGTGCTGTCTACATTGAGCCACTGACGAAAAAGCTCCTCCATCTTCATCCTTCCAGCTGGACATAAATGTGCGCTCTCAATCTCTGATAATCGTAGGGATTCGGGGCCTGTGCCACTTGAGCTTGTAGGCGATGCCATTGCAGCATCCGAGGTCTCTATTTCAACCGTCATGTGTGTGCCTTATAGAGCAATATACGTAATAAAACTAGCACAAGAAGAGAAACAAGATATAGATATTGCTAATGAGCGGTGTAGAACGTCTGGGGAAGAGCAGGAAGACGAGATATTACACCACACAGGCAAGAGCTACGCTTCCTCTTGATCTTCCTTCTTTGCCTCTTTTTTTTGTATGTGGACCACCTCACACTGGAAGACGTCGGTTTGGATGCAGCCAGTCAAAACTCGCGATTGAGAAGGTCTTCAGTAGTACGTAACACGTGTACGTACGCATGTACGTACATGAAATTCCATGTTACTACTAAAAACGCACAGCAGACGTTTTGACGTATCTGTTGTCGTCAAATAGTCGGACCTTGAATGGACCAATTGAAACAGTAAACATACCTACTGTCAAGTCTAAGCACAGAAGCTCGTTCGATATCAACCACATATTGCTGCTTCACTATGTGCTCGAATCTTAGCAGATGGCAATGCCTCTATTTATTGCCTACATATGACATGTCCCGTGGATGCCTCTGCAATATATATACGGCAACTCTTTGTAGCAATAATCGTAACGTAATGGTCGTCATGGAATGGCGCAATACAATATCAGCAGCAGCAACAACATTGTGTTTAGTGGCCTGACAGTGCATATTTTTACCTTCTCTGTGCGTACACTTTTTATCAAGGATTTGCCGCAGCGTTTTTACGCAATGGAAAATTTCGCGAAACTGAAGTATTGATTAGCACCGCTTAAAGTTTTTTTAGGTATTCATATTTGTGAGTCAAGGTAGCACTTATTTCTAAGACGACCAAAATGAAAACGCATCATCTTGTACAGGTTTCTATTCCTTCGATTGGTCACGGCCCATTATTAGACGACTATCTATTATGTGGAAACCCGGCACGGATCGACCAGAGGACAAGACGCCCAAGGTGAATAACAACAAGGACAATGCGGCTTTAATAAAAGACAAAAGCTTGCCATCACGGACGATGAAAAAAGCGCCTGCAAAATTTGTATTATCGCAGAAAACATTAGCTATGAAGGTACGACTGGTGGCTGAAACTTTGCGAGACTCTTGACTGCTTACTAATGGACGTCGCTATCGTCTGAAACAACAGTTCATGCAACGCAAGATGAAGACGGAGGTACAACGCATCACTGCTATTCAAGAGAAACAAAAACAGGATACGTGGGAGTCCGTGCCCGTGGACGACGGACCGGCAAACGACAAGTCCAAGATCGTTTGCACGCGCGACGTGCCCGACCCGTCGCTGCCGCTGCTATTTGGCCGTCGCTCGTTTGGCAGCTTCAATAAAGGTGTGGAGGATGAGTTCAAGGAGGCATCTAGAGCACTGCGTTTTGCACTGTCTGAGGAGAAGGAGCTTCGTGAAGAGATCTCGGCCGAGGAGATGACGTCTCGCATGCTCAAATACACGGGCCTGAGTCGTCGCAGCGGTAACACCAATGGCGGTAGACGCCTTAACAGCAATAAACGTCAGCGGAAATAGGCATGTAGTCCTCTTCAGCTGATAAATTATTGTCCGCAGCGCCAAGCAGACTCGACAAGTCACTCGTCATCGCTAGCGTCCTCGTCACTAAAGTAACTGTCAGTCTTTCGCTGCGGCCGACGACGCGCTGACTTAGCGGCAGATGGTGGAGGTAGAGTTGCCGGCAACAAAGACGAAGATGCTGTGGACGTGTACGCCAGCAGAGAAATGGAAAGGTCTTCGTCATCGGAGCCTGTGGGTGGTGCTCTGGTATCACACGCACGTACAGTAAGATGTTAGATGGCTTTTTCGATCATAAAGCACCCTACAAAGATAACTTACAGTATGTTGACGATTTCTTCGTCGTTGAAATAGTGCACGCGTTCGTACGGATCAAACTTCTTCTTCTTCTTCTTGAGTTTCTTCCTACTGCTCTTGCCTCCAGTCGATACAGGTCGCTCCCGAACGCCCAATACATTGCGTGGACACTCGTAGGACAAGTGACCGAACTCGCCACATTCAAAGCAGCGCTGGGACGTCGTGTACTTGCGCTTTTTGGCAAACTCTCGAGAGCGTCCATTGTCACGACACAGAGATACCGCTAGCGTCATTCCTTCCAGTGGCGTTTTATCCATCACAGTCACCGCCTTAGCGCAGTCGTCAGCACGAGCGAATTGGACAAAGGCCACGCCACGACTGCGACGTGTTTGCTTATCACGCAGAACCATCACACGTGCCAACTTTCCAAACGGTGTAAATAGCTGTGCAACATCATTCGTTGTGTAGACGTACGGCAGCATTGCGACGTAGGCCGTACATGGCGAGGTGGCACTGGATGAGGTGTTGTTGTCCATTGGATGAAGAGAGTGTCACGTGTACCGTCAATTTGGTACAAAAGGTTACAGTATCTTTGCTACCGAGGTTACGATATTCAAAACCATCGACTAGTGAAACGATACAATAAAAAAGACAGCGCACTCACGTGTATACTTAATCGAGCCACTTAACCCTAGACTACCTTGATTAACCAATAAAGCACTTCAACTTGTCGCAGATTCCATGTCTCTTTTGACGTACCACTTTACAGATAAGTCGTTTACCATCAATCAACATGTCACTATTTTTGACTTCCATCGATAGAAGAAGACAAACGTGTAAAAAGAAGAAGAAGAAGAAGAATAGTAGTAGTAAAGAGAGAGAATTGATGGATGATACTTTACAATCATTCATTCCATCATTCCTTGCTTCATTTTACATTTTACTCATTTCAAGTCATGACGTTTCCCAATTGTCCCAATTATATACCCGGTCAACAACGACGAGAACCTAAATGTGCCATTTCACTACCAGTAATGCCAAAGAAACTAGTGCGAAAACAATCAGTAGATGAAAACTTGATGGAAGAAAAGATTGATGGTATGCAGAAAGATTTACATTTAATGCTAGCAACGTTATCATCATTACATGAAGAAACAAATAAATTCGAGTCGAAACTTCCAACAACGGAAGAATCGTTGGTAGCCGTTCGAGAGAGTCACAAACGATTGATTACGGACGTTAATTATCAAGGGAATGAAGGTTTACTTATGTTGGCCAACAGTATGGCACCATCAGACGTAGTTGATCCGTTTGGAACAGAAGAAATGCCAACAACTTATCCAATGTATCAAGAATTCAATACAATGAGTGATGGATTTTCCCCTAGTGACATTAGTAGATCTGAGTACATGGAGACAGTATCGTTTCAGACAATGGTTCGTGCTGCAAATGAAGTGGTAGATGACCCAACTGTCCGTACTCGGTACGAACATGCAGCTCAGAAATTACATGAATGGGGAGAACGACGTACGAGACAACAATCACAATTCCAAACAAACTCTGCAGATATGGAAAGAGACGAGAGTTTACTACCTTCACTGTCAGTGTCTTTAGCTGAGATCTCACCCTATGCCATGGAACTTGCAGCTCGCAATAGTTTGCCCAAGAAACGATCAAGCCTTTCAAAGTTGTCGAAGAAATTAATGCATGACTGGTTTGAGCATAATTTACATCATCCCTATCCAACTGAAGAGGAGAAGGATTGGCTTGCGCAACAAGGTGGTATCACACTGGAACAGGTGAACAATTGGTTTATCAACACTCGCGGTCGAAAGTGGAAACCTATGCTCAATCGACTCATGGCTGAGAAACAGGCAGGAGATTGCAAATTATACGACCAAATGGTGGAGAAGATAGAAGAGCCTTACCACAAATGTTAGTGCTGGAAGAAACAACAACAATGGCGACGATAGGAGAAGGATGGACACGTGATATATGTTTGTCGTTGGTATTCTGCTACCTGCGGATTTGAAACTATCTGCAAAACTTTCACCATTTACATGTTGGTGTACATGTGATATTCATGGCGATAGCCTGACTGTACAGTTGAAATAGCACGATGGCAGAATGCATTTCTCTAGCAAAGTGAAAATATAACGATATATGCCGTGTTGTAGATTGTCCAAGCTGCAAGTATAATCGGTATGCATGGCACGTGGAACAGGTGCGTTGTCGAGTGACACAAGTCTGTGCTAATTTGCTTTGTCATTAGTGGCGTCGTACTGTCGATTATCAACTAAGCTCGTTATAGACGACTTCCTGCTCACCGTAGTCCAAAGCCTTCGGCCTGATTGAGCGCTAACAACAGACGCTCTTTGAGCTTCTCGCGGCTGTTGTACTCTGGTAGTAGCAGGTGGTTAAAGCTGGTTGAATAAATGCAATAGCAACATCACTTAGCTTCAATGTTTCTCAACAATACAATCAACTTTAACATATCCTCTTACCAGGTATGCGCTGTAGGAAGGCGACCCGAGTCTGGGCCGTTACGCGAGATGACAAACACAAGGTTTGAAAGGCCTCGAATAGGTATGCGATCACTACCTGTAACGAATCGGAGCAGTTTCTTCTTGTCCTCTAGCGAAAGCGCGTGAACGATGACCCAGAAATCTCTACCAGAGTCAAACAAGAGTCAGTCGTTATAACGCAGAAAAGCTATTGCCACCGTGACGTACCGAATGATTTCGCTGTCTTTTGCAAATCCATCTTCGTAATGCGTAGCTTCCTCAAGAGCCTCAAAGTCCAGGTCGCTGCTGCCACAGATCAGCAACTGCAACTCTTCCCACCGGAACATGCTTAGGACCTCATGGTTACAAACCTGGTGGAAGCCGCGGTGAAAGGCAGCGTATTGTCGAGAGACCGACTTGTTCAGCACATAGTCTACGTATAGAGCTACGTACTCGTCACAATTGTCATTGGTCACTGAAATCGAGCTGCCTCTTGGCTTAAGCTCCACCGTCTTCACCTTGCCAAACATTTCATACGAGTACTCAAAACTACGCTGATAAACTCCTTCTACGTCACCCTGAAATTTCAACATCTGACGTAGACCACGTCCGAGATCAGGCATTGCTAACTCCAGATCTTCCAGTCCAAGTGTGCAGCCCATGATTTTCTTGTACACAATGTGAGGAAAGCTAACGTCCAGAATGACAGCGTTGTAAATGGCAAGACCTAGCAGCGTACCAATGAGCTCAAACTCCATCGTGGCTTCCAGTGAGTCGCAGTTAAACCACAATGTATGTGTTTCCTTATCGTACGTGAACATACCATAGGCCGGATCCAGTAGCTGTCGAATGAGGATTTGGAAAAACTCTTTCTGTACACCACCCTCATCAACGCCTTCTTCGCCCACAAACTTAACCTTAAGAGGCTTCTTCAGCGTCTCCGCGGACGAAGATAAATGAACCAACTGCTGCATTGCGTCCTCTACGATATTTTCACGTCGCACTTTTAGTACCAAGTAAGGTGATTGTGCACGTTCCGACAGCAATACAGAGTGAGACAGTACGGCATCTTGCGCACGTGCACGCTGCTCGAGATCGGAGTCAATTTGCAGCACTTTGCTTTTGGAACCCGCATCCAAAACAAAAGGAAAATCACAAAACGACATTTCCGAAAGCATGCGCTCCGGCATGGATTCAGCGTTTCGTCTAGCATCTTCTTGTCTTCTCGCATTGTCCACACGCTCACGCTCAGTCACAGCATCTCCTTCACTCTGCTGATAACGTCGTTGAATCTCCCCCTGCTCCAGACGACGAGCAGAAGGCAGGGCAGAACGGCGTTTCTTCCAAAAGATAATGGAGCGCGAATAGTCCTGCGCAATGTCTACCTCTGAATTTACAGCGTCATTGTAAAACTCATGATATGCGGCAAACGGCTCATGGCCATTTGCCCGCTCGCGGTTTACAATCTGGAGCTGCGCAAGCACGCCACAAGCTGCATACACGAGATCCATTTTGCGCGAGCCATAAAGACACACAGTGATTGCTTGTTGAAGCATGTCCAACAGTCGATGTAGCTCGTCCGCTGTGAAGAAAGTTGACCACTGAGTGCGAACAAGAGCCTTCGCATCTTCAGGCAAGTAATAAAAGAGTCTGCAAAGCCCACCCAGGACATTCAAGTAGTCTGGGTCAAACATTGACGGGTGTTCAAACATTATGAGAAAAAAACGCAATGTACGTGGAGAATGCCAGGTTGAGCAAACATTCCAGGGCTGTGTAATCAGCATCTCTAGTGCGTTTCGAAAGGTGTTTTGCATCGCTTCCCGGTCAGCACCTAGCATAGCAGTATTCAGTAGTGTAAACACTCGTGTCATCTTGTCTCGATCAATGCGCCACCATTTTGCCTGTCTATCTTCTTCTTCCGTTGTATTTCCACTGATAAATGCAGCATTGAGTGTATCTGGATCTGAAAATACTTGATACACAAGTCTCTTGACGATTCGATACGCCTTTGTCTCTATCGCCAGCTCTAACGCATTTTCTAGCTGCGTTCCCATGGGTTGATGAATACAAGTCCTTGCTGTCATATCATCACCACTTGAGGTTAAGACTCGGTTTGTTTCTACAGGTACAGTTCTTGTCCGATTTGTGCTTGTCGCAGCAGTAGTCATTGATGATTCCGTAAGACTTGAAGTAGCCAACTCACTTGCTACTTCAGACGTTGACACAATTCCTGTCTCCTTTAACGTCTTCATATCAATATCTTCTGATTCTTCCTCTGATTCTTCCATTTTTACATCATCTGATACGGTACGATGATGATTATAATTGACTACATCGTCGTCTTTTTCTTCTTCATCGATTTTAGTTGAAACATGTTGGAGTGCCAATAACGTTCGTGCTACTGCATCATTCGAATCCAAACCTTGGGATAAATAACGTCTATACGTTGTTTGAAATATTTCCTGTAACTGTTTCGTACTGTGCTGTTGCTGTAGCTGTTCTTGCTGCTGTTCTTGCTGTTCTTGTGTATCCATTACTCACGTCTTGGCACGGATTCGCTTCTTTGTCAAAAATGACAATTGTAAGACTCAAGGACTGTATTTTGACCAATCGGATTATTTTATTTATAGGATGTAATGAAAAATAACAATTGGTTCAAGACGGTAGGACAATATCATGTTAACTATTGGGACTCCGTGGTGTAAAATTCATCAAATTACATACAAATGTTGTAATTGGTGAATAGATGTGGATAAATGCTGCTTTTTCCACCAATCAAAACACGTAAATGACGGTCTACTTAATAATATTATTCCTGCTAGACATATATCCTTTATAAGCGCTTACTTAAGATAAAAGTAACCTAATGGACGCTACAATCCAATCATGGAGACAAAAAATACCAAGTAAAAGACAATTAACATGTACAATTAATCAACTTGTACAGCAAAAATCAGTTGCAATGATGTATACACCTACCGAAGTAGAACGGATTAAACAAATGACAGGTATGATTACGCAAGCAACAAGTGATTTTGAATCAGATGAAGATTGGGACAGAATTATACGTGTGGTGGATGCATTAAGTAACATTAATAATCGCGCTGTGTACGTGTTACTTTCGTACTACTTTTTATATTTGTAATATATTATTGTTGTTGTGACAATTATTATTATTCTTGTATAACAATAATATTGTATAAACAATAATATTGCTACTACATTCTACTAATAATGTTGCTATACAAAAATAGATTAAAGGAATCGGTTCGGTATTTAAAATTAAGACTTGGCGATCCATCACCTCGTGTAATAATTCTTGCATTAACATTAACGGAATCAATTGTTAAAAATTGTGGAGATCTCGTACATCAAGAGATTGCATCCGAGTCATTTATGAGTGAGATGGAGACACTGTATCGAGTGAGATCAAGTTATTTATTGTCAATAGTTCTTGTTATTGTTGCAATTATTATTGTTATTGTTGTCAAGAAGAAGAAGGAGGAGGAGAAGATCAGTTTGATGCACGCAAAAGACTGATATCAATGTGTTAACTTCTTCGTTTTTCATATTTATAGACACATGCAAGTAAACGTGGACGGAAAAGTATGGAAATTGCTAGTCGTGTATTAGATATGATTCAAGCATGGGGTGAAGCTTTTTTACCATATCGAGTAAGATGTTTATCTACTCTTGTAACTTAATTTGTGTTAGTTTACGGACACAGAACTAGATATTGATCGTGTCTTTTTTTATTGTAGCATTTATTTCCTCTGTTTGTCGATACGTACCACAAAATGCGCATGAAAGGCATTAAATTTCCAGACCAGTACGACGAATCAAAGGTTCCAGTATTGACACCGCCGCCGGAAGAGAAATGTGGCAATCGATGTGGCACAACAGGTGGACGTTTCGTTCCCAATCGCGGATCAAATTCGATCGACACTTCGTCATACTCAAATGCTAGCAGTGGACTGGGTGGATTGTCAACACCTGAGCTCTACCGTGTCGCGATGAACGTGTTAGAAATGTTTGAGGACATGTTACACGAGGCGCAAAAGGATACATGTGCTTTAAGCAGCCATGGAGTAATGAAGGAACTTGTTGTACAAGTGCAAGAGATTGTGCATAGGATGGAAGGCGCTATCCCTATTGCCGTTGTAGAAGAGGATGAAGTACGTGGTTGCTTACACGGGACATACATGTGACTACTAGGATAACGACTGATTTTGCTTTTTTTACTCTCTGAGCCAGCATTTAGAAAAGTACTTGTCCGTCAATGACGATCTTCACGCTGCGCTGAAAAAATATGACGAGCTCTTAGCAAAAAGCCAAAGCAAGGTAGAAGAGACTGCTGCAAAGTCCACGAGAGATTCTGCCGAAGATGTTGACCTCGTCGATCCTTTTGGACTAAAGGAAGACGGATCTCTCCAAAATAAGCAGAACAACCAGGATTTGATCAGTGACGATCCATTTGCGGATTTTATGCGTACATACAGTGGATCAGCGATCAAAACTGCTGATCAAAACAAGTCAGAACAAAGCTTGAAGCCTGAAGTTGAGGTCAAGGTTGCTCCGAAGATGTCGCAAAAAGACGAGGATGAAGACGACCCGTTTGCGAGTTTTGTGAAACAGCGTGCAACCAAGATTCTTAGTGGTAGCAACCGGGATGTCGAGACTAAGACGCAGGCTGCTGGAGTAGTGCAACCTGCAGCTTCTGCGACGGATTTGATCAACTTGTGGGATGGTAAGACAACGTGCATGTGTTTCATGAACACAAAATTGACTCGTTCTTTGTTTTTTCTCTAGCAGAAGTTCCCGCGCTTCCAGTACTTGCCAAGACTGCGGCACAATCTGATCTTTGGGTAGGGGATGACCCTTCCAGTAGCTTAAGACACTCATGTGTGGACTCAACTACTGCTTCGACGGAGACGTCTGTACATGATCTATGGAGCGGTAATACAAGTATTTTTTCAGATACTGCATCATGAAAATGTGTTCATGTCTGACCAATATGTTTGCCATACAGCCAACACGTGTTTCAACACGACCACGCCAGCACCACACACTCGCACTTCTAGCACAACCAGCAGCGCTGTAGTAGACACAAACACAAGCGACCCGTTTGAAATGCTGGACTTCTCCACAGAGGCTAGTCACGTGTTTTGTCCCGACCCTCTTGCTTTCTTTTGCTAACGTTGTGCTGAATGACTCAGGCTTCGATCTTGACACCAGTCCCAATCGCCACTGCCAACAACCTCCAGCCGACTTCGGTGCTGCCTCGGCAGTCATCACAGTCAACAGCAGCATCCAGTAAATCATTCAACCCTTTTGATTTCTAGTCTGTCACTAGATTGGTAGGCACATGTCAAAGGACGATAAAACAGGAATTGAATCAATGTTTAGCTGTTACTCTTCTCCTTCGAGACTAGTGCCGACGACGTTATTGTCTCTTGCCTAATGCAAACTTAGATATGAAATGTGATGAAAGTGATCGACCCAATTGAATGAGCCGACAAGCCAACTAGCTGCCCCCGATGGTAATCTTCGGCCGCTATTCACTTGGACCGGTTTCCACCGTTCTTCGACGGCTGTGACTCTTTCTTCTGGCCATTATCCATTGCTTCGCCAGCAGTACCCTTTACCATTTCCTTCGCGTTGCCAGCCTTCTCCCGAGTCGAATCAGCTGCATCAGCCGCATTTCCTTTGGCTTGTTCCTTCATAGCACTAGCTTTGTCCGTCGCCTGACTAGCAGCATTCGAAGCCTTATCCTTCGCGGCTCCGGCCTTATCCTTCACCATGCCAGCGTTATCTTTAGCCACCTTGTTCGCTTGGCCAGCCCTTTCAGCGGTCATATCCTTCATCTTACTAGCCTCATCCTTAGCCATCTTTTTGGCTTGTCCAGCTCCCTCAGCAGTCTTATCCTTCATCTCACCAGCTTTGTCTTTTGCCGTACCCACCTTATTCTCCGTTATCTCCTTCGCTTGACCAGCTTTCTCTGCGGTCGTGTCCTTCATGTCGACAGCTTTGTCCTTCGCCGTTTCTGCCTTGTCTTTTACCATCTCCTTCGCTTGACCAGCTTTTTCTGCGGTCATGTCCTTCATCTCGCCAGCCTTATCCTTCGCCTGGCCTGCCTTTTCTTCCGCTTTCTCCGTCGCCATACCGGCCATTCCTCTGCCCTTCTCGTAGGCTTCATTAAAAGTTGACTGCGCTGCATCCTTCTTCTCCTTCACGGTTTCAGTCAGTGCCACACCCTGTGCCTCAACACTTTGAGCTGTTTCCGATTGCTGCGCTGCAAGCTTCGCATTGTGCAAAGTATCCGAGATGTAGCTCACGCTCTCGCTGACAATTTCAGCAGTGGTTGACGCCACCTTGCAACCTAAACCGCCTGTCACTTTAGTGTCCACCATTGCAGCTGCGGCCGACACACCCAGGCGTGCATCCAAATCGCGCACCTTCTGCACGACGCCACCAGTGGTACTGCTAACGCCCAACTTCTCGTCGCCAAACTCTGCAGCACGCACAACTTCGCCCACCGCAACCTGTGCACCGTGCGTTGCTTGCCCAGCCATGTTTCCAATGGCATCACGCAACTTCATCAACTGATCGTTGGTAGTTTCCAACGCGTCCGTTGCGTGTTGGCGTCCAGAATTGACCCAGTGATGCAATGTGTCCATTGCAGCTTGTCCACGTGACCCCGCATACTTGTCATCATACGCGACCGCTCGTTTTTGCAAATCGTCCAGCGATTCACGAACTCCTTGCATCCCTTCAAGTGCGACTGGAACGGTTCGTTCCGACAATTCTTGCCCCTGACTCTTGAGCTTTTCCGTTGCCGAACGTGATGCATCCAATGCCGACTTGAGATACTGTCCAGCAGGTTCTAAATTTGAGTGCTTCCTTTCATATTCCTCCACATGTTTCGTCAACTGATAGCATAATACAGTCCACAAATCAGTCACATCACATGACATTCCACTCAACATATCAACAACTTACATCAGTCAAATACGAATCAGCTTTCTGAGTCGTCTCGTCAATCTGCTCTTTCGCACGTTTTACGTCTTCTTCATGGGTTGTCATTTTGCGCTGTAGGTCAGTCATTCTCGTCTTGTATTGCTTTGGTTTCTGGTCTTGATTCAAGGAGAAAATTGCTCAATGAGTGTATGAAGCGACCCTAAAAGGTTTGCTCAAGACGTCACCGTTAGGTCTGATCTTTCGAGTTTTCTTGAATTTCATTTGCGATTGTTGCCTAAAGACCTCGTCCCAATACGTGATGGGTGGGAGTACGTGACAATTCAATGAAGGTTGATGGATAGTAACAACCGTCATGAAAACCTTTCATTCAAGAACCAACCAGAAAGCTCGTAGTAACGCGAACGGGGTCTGTATTTTTCTCAGCTATTCTCTTTCTCGTCGGTTTTCTTATAACGACGACGAAGTTTTCGTCGGTTCGACCCCATTCTTGAACCGATAGCTCTCAGTTCTTTGCTACTTGTGTGCTTACTTTATACTTCTTTAATACGAATCCACGGATTGATGATATGTATCTACTAGTCCACGGATTGATGATGTGTATCTACTAGTTGCGTTTCATTGAATTCCATCGATTATATAATGGTGATGGCCGCGGTTCTCCTGCGGTTTTGTCATACCCCTATAGTAAGTTTGTTCAGGACCATCGAGAAACTTTCAAAGGGGCTGACACAGAAATCTCAGAAGTCTCTGGGCGATGAGTTTTCTCTTCTAAGACGAAAGACGTATTTTTTGAAAGCTTGAGACCTCCATAGATGGATTCCATCGTTTCGAGAAACACAAAAATGACGAAGCGATAAACGTCTTCCATCTCGTATTTTTAAGGCATATGGAGGTACCTACATGAGCTTCATTATGGTCTCGGTTGATTATGGCTGAATCGACAGCATGTTGTACGAAACAACTAACTTGACAAATGTTTTGTATAACGATGACGCCTATTGTATAATGTATAAGGTAGTTAGTTATGAGTATTAATCTCAAACTAGAAAGCACATGAAATAGCAGAAGACATTGAGTAAAGTTGGCGCGTATGCGTTATCACCAAATAACAGGATGAATTAGCGCACGGTAAAATAAAGGCCACATTGTTAAGTCATCATTATGGTTGCAAGCCAATGCTCTAAACACTTATCTTATAGTGGTATCAATTTAGTTTTAACATGGCAAAATGATTACGTTATAAAACTGTGAAGCTATTTAAGATTTGCTATTGTAAGTCGACTACATTGTATCTAGGAGCTCTTGATCTTATTTAGAGCCCTGTAACGGGCTAGTTACGTAATCTACCGATGACGACACCGCTCCCGATGCACGTTGCATTAACGAAGGATTTGCATCCGCTGGTTTGAGCTTCTCCGACGCATCCGATGCCGTGTTGGAAATGCTATCAGCAGCAGCTGAAGCATACTCAGCCACTGACGTTTGCATTGCAGCAAGATGAGTTTGCAATGCTTCAAAGCCCTGGAAAGTCGATTCACGAGTGGAAGTGACTAGTGATGCAATCGAATCTTTCCATGATTCCATTGTACTTGAGCCACTTTCCTTCGCATTTGCTACATTTGAATTGATCGAGTCACGCATACGTTGGTCGTATGACTGAGCCGATTTGCCCAAATCATCCAGTGCTGACCCGGTCTGATCCATGGCACGTTTGGCCGAGTCAACGACGGAATCCGATACACTGTTGCCATCAGCTCGAACGTTTTCTCCTGCATTCTTGAGCATCTCCACTGATGCATGAGCTCGATCCATGGCAGCTTGGAAGTAGGATGTCGCTGAATCCTTTGGCGAGTTGTGAGACTTGTCATAGTCGGCAAATTTATTCTTGAGTGATTCCAAATAAGTGGCCGCATCATTGGCACCACTTTTCATTAACTCCTGGAGTTTCGATACTTCCTCTTGCGTCGTGCGTGAAGATTTAGTTGGCGTGTGGTCAGAGATACCCATGCTTGTTCGATAATCGAGTCAATGGAGTCGTGTTGAGTGTTGAACTTGTGCGTTCAAGATCAAATGGTAAAGTGATTAATCAACTGCCCAAAGTATCCGAGTCAGTCTCGATCGTCGAGCGATGATAATAACGTTGCTCTGATCGTAAGGAAGAACGCCATCAATCAATTAAGGACAGCAGCCAGTACTTTTAGTGGCTGCAATATCTTTGAGAAATCCAGTACCGTTGATGAGAAAATGACAACAAGCGTAGGGCGTTGTAATAGCGGTTTTTGCGTTCTCTTCGCCGTTCCATGGGTTCAAGTTATGAACCGGCTTACGTCGTGATTGGCCTCACGTGTAATATGAAGACATTGATCGGATTTGTAGTGAAAAGGTGGCTAATGAATGAATGATACGTCCTTTGCCACATCAAAATGACACACACACCGTTGACCCAAAGCGGACCAGTTGTCCACCAAAGGCGCAGTGGTGGACGAGTTACAACAAATGTCAAATAGTCGGACGTTATTCAATTGCCTTATATTGTAAAATAAATATATTTATGTATTTTATGTTCTTAGAGCTGAGTTGTTTCATGGTAACGTAACTCAAAGCCCTTTCTTTTAAATCATCCTAACAACCCAGGTAGTAATTTTCCTATGATGCAGTTACCTTAACCTTAACAAACTGCCACTTTAACCTACTACAATAAAACCCATCTTTAGCTGTACAAATAAGACTCTAATGTGTAAGTCTCTCGACTCTTACCAACTCTCAATTACGCAAGACGTTGTTAAAAACGTTCAAACCAAAATTTTAAGAAACCATTCCGATGCAATTGATGTCAAAACGTTTTGCGACACCTTTGTTTTGATGGATGGTTGAATGCATTTTATCGTGAGCAGAGAGGCTGCTATTACAACGCCCTACGCTTGTTGTCATTTTCTCATCAACGGTACTGGATTTCTCAAAGATATTGCAGCCACTAAAAGTACTGGCTGCTGTCCTTAATTGATTGATGGCGTTCTTCCTTACGATCAGAGCAACGTTATTATCATCGCTCGACGATCGAGACTGACTCGGATACTTTGGGCAGTTGATTAATCACTTTACCATTTGATCTTGAACGCACAAGTTCAACACTCAACACGACTCCATTGACTCGATTATCGAACAAGCATGGGTATCTCTGACCACACGCCAACTAAATCTTCACGCACGACGCAAGAGGAAGTATCGAAACTCCAGGAGTTAATGAAAAGTGGTGCCAATGATGCGGCCACTTATTTGGAATCACTCAAGAATAAATTTGCCGACTATGACAAGTCTCACAACTCGCCAAAGGATTCAGCGACATCCTACTTCCAAGCTGCCATGGATCGAGCTCATGCATCAGTGGAGATGCTCAAGAATGCAGGAGAAAACGTTCGAGCTGATGGCAACAGTGTATCGGATTCCGTCGTTGACTCGGCCAAACGTGCCATGGATCAGACCGGGTCAGCACTGGATGATTTGGGCAAATCGGCTCAGTCATACGACCAACGTATGCGTGACTCGATCAATTCAAATGTAGCAAATGCGAAGGAAAGTGGCTCAAGTACAATGGAATCATGGAAAGATTCGATTGCATCACTAGTCACTTCCACTCGTGAATCGACTTTCCAGGGCTTTGAAGCATTGCAAACTCATCTTGCTGCAATGCAAACGTCAGTGGCTGAGTATGCTTCAGCTGCTGCTGATAGCATTTCCAACACGGCATCGGATGCGTCGGAGAAGCTCAAACCAGCGGATGCAAATCCTTCGTTAATGGAACGTGCATCGGGAGCGGTGTCGTCATCGGTAGATTACGTAACTAGCACGTTACAGGGCTCTAAATAAGATCAAGAACTCATTGATATGAGATCGTAAAACAGGATAAGCATTATAATTGAACTTTTGCTTCGATTGTGATAATTCTTACAACGTGTCCTGCAGTTAGTAATCACGTACGAGCCTTGAGTATCTATCTCGTATCGCCTACGATCCATGATACATTTGTATCACCAAGACCTGGTTCTTTTGCGTAACACGCAGCAGGAACATCAATCAACCCGTGTTTGGATACAAGAGCTTAAATTAATGTCTGACGTCAAGCAGAAGTCGATAGGTTTACTCATAATTCTTCAAGCGTGGATCTTTATCTGCAGCGAGACGTCCGATTCAATATCCAACCACCCTCAAAAGTTATCTGCCTCTACTCGACCATGGGAACATCGACAATGCAGTCTCCTCACAGCGTTCATTGTTTCTGAGCAGCTGCATGTATCAGTTTGTGTTCGTCAATGGCCACTGCGGCCATTTCCATCTCCACGTCATCCATCACAGCGTTCACATTCGCGTCATCCACCATTATGTCGCTCATTTGCCCTGCGACATAGAATACATTTCTCACTGCCTCGTCCTCCTCTTCTCCTCCTCCTTCTTCTTCTTCTTCTTCGCCCTCCTCCTCCACATCCTCGTCCAGTTCCGCGACTGTACGTACAACAGGTCCGCTGTTCAATGCCTCCTGCGTCACATCTACAGCCGTTACAATTTCCTCCTCTTCTTCGTCATACACAAATCTTGTGTGTTTGCCCTGAAAGATTGGAAGTCCCTTCACCACGTTTTTCTCATGCTGGAAAAACTTCGACCGTGCGCCAATCTCTGGCTCCACGCGTACGGAGACGTTTAAGCGCTGCACTTCTTGTATTGTATACTCCACAGCCTCGCGATCAAACTCAGCGGTTGAGATTTGCTGTGCGAATTGCGCAGGTGAGACGTCGTCCATGGTGTCGTCCGAGTCCATCGTGGCAATTCGAATATACTTGACTTTTGTATGCTCGAAACCGTTGGAGCTTTTGAGCTCGTCGTGTGGAACAGCTGGTACTTTCTTCTAAGTTCGCTCTAGAGTCTTTTTTATGTTGGACTATGGTTCAACATGCACTTTGGTCTCGCTTAAGTCCGCTAAAGCTGCACCAGTCGTTATACCGACATCAATTACAAGTATAGGACCATGTTAATTGGAGCATACGACCGTCGCGGCAGTAGCATTGCAGTGGATGTAGACGATGCCATTGAACGTATAGTAGAACAGTTTGAAAGCAGAGATTTGGCTCTGCGTCTGGACGTTTTACGGGCACTGAGCGCTCAGGCGCAACTAGCGTTTGAGACTACTCGGGTGCGTGAACGTCTCGGTCAACATCCGGTGTCCATGGATCTAATTCAGGGCATTACGTGTCAGTCATTAGTATACAAGACACTGACTAAGAATCTAAAGGTAGATAGCTACAGCTGTGCTTATGACGTCGAGCGAAATGTCGTCATGACCACGACCGTGCGTTGGACGTTGGGCAGCCCACCACCAACCAAGAAACGCAAAAAGATGTCAGCTTTGGCTCCTACTAAGAAGAAAGAGATGATCACCAAGTACAGGTATGAGAGGATGCGACAGAAGAACGAGGAGGAAGAAACGTTTGTCAAGTTTTCGGTCATTGTATCCTTTGGAGACGATGATGTCATGCCCAGAGAACTGCTTTGCTTTGAGATGGCGTGTCAACACTTGTACCCCAAGAGATACTACGAAGAGAAACGTCAATTTTCGTTGGTAGATAGCAAGGAGATTGACGGAGAAGAGAACACGAAGGAGAACGAAGAGGGATGTGACATGGAAAGGGGAGACGGAGAGACTTTTGGAGAGGAGCAACGAGAGTTTTGCTTCAATAACGAAGTATTGGCGGATATGGGTGAGTGGATGGGAGCTGATAAGGAGGAGCTGGACCCCGTCGATGTTGCTGGCTTCTTCATGGCGTTGCCTGTTTACGAAGATGAATGGCTTATAGACGAACGTGTGTGCGAAATTCTCTTCCAAGGTGAAATTGGAGCTGATAGCAGTAATGAAGACAGTAACGAAAAGGACGAAGATGAAGGAGATGATGAACTGAAGCTGTAGACGAAGACAAAGCAGTTTGAGCGTGGCAAGTAGCAGCGTGTCCGAGAACGTATCACTAGGACAGAGGTTGGATACACGAGACTTCCTTGCAATACGGAACCACTTTTCTTGGAGCGGTCCTGTCTGGGCCCACGCGGTTTCAAGCAACAGGAAGATTTCTGCAGTCAGTTTGCTTAATGTTTAATCCCAGATGCTAGTGGTGTGCATGTCCACGTGCACAGTATCGTTAAGTGCTGTGCCGTTCATCTGTACCTGCAGATCTTAATACAAAACTAGACAAGCGCAGCATGGTCGCTGATCCACAATTGCTAGTGTAGAGCAACGAGACGTTCCAAGACGGCCTCATTCGCCAACTTAAGACGATGATATGGATCATCTGTGGGAGGAAACAACGTGTTTGGCGACAAGCTGGTGAGCTGGAGGACACAAGTGTCAAAGTGGCTGAAAAACGAATGAGAGCTAGGGTGGACGTTCATTACAGTCTTCGGCAACAGCTTCAAGACGAGGCGGTGCTACATACAATTAGTAGAGAATCTGCAGCGACGTTGAAATGTGGGTAATATAGAGATATGTTGAGACTCGTACCAACCGGGACCTTCTCCGCTTTAACGCGTCCCATTGCGTAGCTTTGGCTATTCGTTCTGTCCGAGAAAAGTGGACGCTAACTAAAGAGCCAACCATAGCAAGAAAGAGAGAGATGCATAAAGGATCTGCTTACGTGTTGTACAACGCTGTCTACTTGGTAATCTTAATGTCGCGAATGAGCTCGGACAGCTCGTCGTCGACGTAACGAGGCGCAATTTTGGTTTTGCCACGCCGGTGACCCTGATTATGCAGCTGTTGCAACAATATCTTGGCATCGGGCTCCTTTGCGTCCGCCTTGCGGACAAACACAACACTATTGACGTCTTGCTCACTGGGCTTCAGTGCTAACACAGCACTGGAACCTGTAAACACACGTTGTAGCTGCGTTATGATATCTTTGTATAGTCCGCTATCGCGGCAGGAAACGTTGATAAGCAGCACACCACGAGGAGCAAGCAGCGTGTGCACGTGAGCGAGGAATGCAACCTCAACGAAGCTAACAGGTGGACAACTCATGCCCACATCTCGCTGCTTTGCATCGACGTCCACAATAATGGAGTCAAAATAAGGTTTTTCCGCCGCCGTAGATTGCTCTGCTACATACTCAAGTGCATCGGCAACCACCACGCGCATCCGTTGGTCCGGACAAAAACCAAAATACTGCGCGGCGACTGTCACGATTGTCGGGTCCAGCTCGCATGCTGTTACATCCATGCCTGGGATGTTATCGTGCAGGTACTGCGCCAGGCAGCCACCGCCAAGGCCAAGTACCAACGTGCGATGCAGCGCGTCGGGAACCGGTCGTGATGATAACGACGCTGCATGAAGCGCTGCAACCATGCCTTTGTGATAATCGAAAGCCAGATAAGACGTGTCCACGACCGCCTGCTTCGCCTTGGCTTTCTTTTTTTTTCTTTTGCGTTTTCTTCTTGTTGTTTTTCTTCTTCTTGGCAGCGGCCGCGGCTTCTTCGGTGGTCATGTCATTGGCTTCGTTATTTGGTGAAGTCTGAAGGGAGCCAGAAGCAGCAGAAGAAACGAGGGTAGCGCTTTCACACCTCTGTAGCTTGACCTCACTCTGGATGACATTTGTATTGCTAAGGAACACCAGACGGCGAAGCAGGTTGCCGTCCTCCTGTACCTCCTCCACGAAGAAAGCACCGCTGAGCGGTGACGTGCCCTGATGCACGATGTTACGCTCACCAAGACCTTCCTGCACTGTCAAGTAGGGAATCATTTCATCAACACCAAGCGTCTCAGGGGCCAGCTCCATGACCTTGGCGTTCAGCTCTTCCTGCACCTTTGCAGTACTTTCAAAGGCATGACCACCACGACCAAGCGCAACAAGAATTAGACGGCTAAATCCAGCTCCCGCTGCAAGCTCACTTGCACCTTCTTCAGTCGAGAACATCCACTCATGCTCACGGCCCTGCGGGATAAGGAAAACGGCGCAGCTTCCGTTGGGTCCGCGCATGTGGGCGTCCACGAGACGCAGCGTAAATCTAGGGTTTACCTGGCGATCCAATGTCCCAGGCTCATCCATGCCCTCGGTAGTCGTGTCCAGCTCGTCATTGGCAATGAGCTCAATGACCTCCTGTCGACCAACTTTGAGTTGACGCAATGCCGCCTGCGTCATTGCAAACCACTGTGTGGCTTCTACTTCATGTGTCAGCCATCGCTGCTTCGCTTCGCCATCATTACTTACAAACTGCTTGGCATTGTATTGCACCTTGTTGTCTACCTTCCGACACTTCAGCGCCGTCGCAAGGAACGGTACAAAAGGTTTGCGCGCTTCTTGCGAAAGCTCCTGCACGTCAACAGTCCATGACGTCATCGTGTCGTCCTTTGCAGTAAGGAAAAAGTCAAGCAGATGCTGCAGGATAAAGTTCTGGGCCATAGTGACACAGCAATAACGTCCACCTGGAGCCAACACACGTCGCACTTCACGCAGCATCTTAGAAGCATCTTCCTTGATTTCAGCAGTATCTTCTGCCATCAGTGCATCCAAAGCACCTTTGTCCATCACAAGATCAAAACTTTCGTCCTCTAGCATCTCCATGTTGGTCATATCCATCACTTGCCATTGCAATGTCGGTTCTTTTCGACGCATTTCATCAATAACACGCTCACTAAAGTCCACACTCAATAAAGTCGAGAAACCATCGGCTACTAAATCCGCACTTAGTGTCGAATTACCACAACCAACGACTAGAACACGTACTTTAGATTTCAGACGGTACAATAGTGACGCAGACGCATCATGTGGTAAGCCCACTAATGTCTCGAGTTGATGACGCAATGAAGTATAATCACCATACCATTCAAAGGCCTTTTCACCTCGTTTTTGAAAGAATTGATCCCAATATTCCTGCTTTCGAAATTCTTCAGCCTTATGTGGTATTAATACTTCATGCTTCTTGTCGGTCATTTTCATTGTCATCTATCGAGCTTATACGGACAATAAAAAATGACCATATTGAATCAGAGAGAGAGAGCCAATCAATCAAGATGAGTGATATGGTAGTAGATACACCTGTACAAAACGATTGGGTACATAGGAAACAATGTGAAAAGTAACGCAAGATCAAAAGTAACAATACTCGACCACCCTTGAGAGCCATTGCGTTGTCTATCTGTCATCCGATAGTCCGAAGTATGGACAATAACAATAGTCATACTACTACAACTCCTCGTATGGACATTCATACATTGACAAGACTTTCGATTGTTTCTCTCTCTCTCTTACTGTCTTTGTATTAACTACTTGATTTTGTATACTATTGTGTCTTTACTTTAGCCAAGAAATTAAGCGCTGGAGCGAAAGAATTCTCTTTCAATCCTGGTGCCGTTGCTTGGACACCGCCGCCTCCTGCACCTGCTCCAGTCCGTAATTTTGATGTAGTTATGCCTGTTCCAAAGAAGGGTGGAGCTACTGTGTTGGGTGCAAGTGCTACTGCTCCTGCTTCTGCTCCAATGTCAGCAGTGGCTCAACTGGAAGACAAGGTGGAGAAGCTGGCTGTACAGGAAGAGAAGGAGGAGGAGCAAGAGAAGAAGGAAGAGGAGAAGGAGGAAGAAGTGGAGAAGAAGGAGAAAGAAGAGGAGAAGGAGGATGTCAAGGTTGAGGAGGGACAGGAGGAGGAAGAGACCTTTGAGGAGGAGGAGATTGGCGATGAGGACCCTCGTGAGCATTTAAATGTCGTGCTCATTGGCCACGTTGATGCTGGAAAGTCGACGCTCTCGGGTAATCTGTTGTATCTGATGGACATGGTAGACAAGCGAATGATTGAGCGATACGAGCGCGAGGCCAAGCAGCGCAATCGTGATAGTTGGTTTCTTGCCTACATTATGGACACGGGCGAGGAAGAGCGAACGAAGGGTATCACCGTTGAGGTTGGACGCGCCCACTTCGAGACTGAGAGCCGTCGTTTCACAATTCTGGATGCCCCGGGACACAAGAACTATGTACCAAACATGATACAGGGTGCATCACAGGCTGACATTGGTCTCCTTGTGATTTCGGCGCGAAAGGGCGAGTTTGAGACTGGTTTCGAGCGTGGTGGTCAGACGCGCGAGCACGCCATGCTGGCGAAGACACTGGGCATCAATAAGCTTATTGTCGTCATTAACAAGATGGATGAAGCGAAGTGGGAACAGGAGCGATTCGACGAGTGTGTCAACAAGCTTCGTCCATTCCTGCGTACGTGTGGCTTTGCTGTGAAGCGTGATGTAGCCTTTATTCCCGTGTCTGGTCTTCATGGAGATAATGTGAAGGTACGACTGGACAAGGCTAAGGCTCCGTGGTACGATGGCGACTCGCTCATTAACTACATGGACAAGATGCATATTGCCAATCGTAACCCGGACGGAGCATTGCGTGTGCCAATCTTGGATCGTTACTCTGAACGTGGTACCATCGCCTTGGGTAAGGTGGAGTCTGGCATTCTCAAGACAGGCGAGAAAGTGGTGTTGATGCCTACGAATACTTCGGCTATTGTAAACCAAGTGTACATTAACGAGGTGCCGGTACGTACTGCTAAGCCTGGCGAGAATGTTACGATTCGTCTGTCCAGCGGTCTTGACGAAGTACAAAAAGGCTTTGTGCTTTGCGGCATCAAGGAGGAGAATCCACCGCGTGCTATTCACGCTTTTGCAGCGCAAATTGCCCTTGTGGACACCCTGGAACACCGTCCACTGCTGACGGCTGGGTATAAGTGTATTTTGCACATTCACACCGTCGCTCAGGAGTGCGTTGTGGCGAAATTACTTCGCCCCATTGACCCGAAGACGGGCAAGCCGGTGAAGAAGCATGTGGCCTTCATTAAGCAGGGCCAAGCCGTTGTGTGCCGGATTGAGGTAGAGCAGAGTATTACGATTGAGACGTTTGCCAACATGCCTCAGCTGGGCCGTCTTACTCTTCGTGACGAGGGTAAGACGATTGCTATTGGTAAGGTGCTGGCGCTGGAAAAGTAAGGTAATTGTGGTCTCAAAAGTATATGACAAGAAGCGAGGAGTCAAGTGTTTTTGTTAGAAAAGCTGCATAGGTAATTTCGTTATCGGTTGAAGCGTCTAAGAACCTTTTGCCACTCTTTCGTTTTTTACACCAGAGACTTGGTCACATGTCGGATGCACATCTTGCTGTTAAATGCTAGAGATTTTCAGCTAGAAGCAAGTCAAATAAGAAATGTGCGTGACGCTTTGTTATAGCATTGATCGGTGTTGGTCTTCTCTTTCCTATTTAATTCTTATACTATCTATCACCCAACCGCGTCGATACTAACACTTCTAGGCCCCGGCAACGGCACGGGACATTTGCTCCCGGGCAATTGCGTAGACTGCAACTAGCGAAGCCAACTGCAGCTCCTCCGTCGTGCCATTGGACAGGCGGTGTTCTAATTTGGCCAGCTCGTCGTATAAATACATGCGGCAACCCGGTGGCAGCTCTAATTCTGTCGTGTAGCGGTACACGTCCTGCAGGATATCGCTCGTGGCGTAGCCCTTGAGTTTCTGCATCTCGGCGCACTTATGCACTGCTGTTGCGAAGCTTTCATTGAAAAGCCAGTGCGTCACCAACTCAATATCCTTCGGCAGTGGATTGCCAGTGCACATGTACACATTGGCCTCATTAACGACGTCATGAGCCATAGACGTCGCCTGCAAGATATTGAGGATGCGACGCATATCTCCCTGGCCGAGACGCAGAATGGCCTTGAAGCCACCCTCTGTCATCTTCAGACTGTCAAAAAATCACACACGACACGTGTAAGAAACAGAGCTCAACAGATCCTTATACACCTCCTGCAACGTACTTCTCTAGCTTTGCAATGTGTTTGACTCGGTCACTCACTTGACTCTCGCTCAGCGGTGCAAAACGAAAGCGCGTGCATCGTGACTGCAGCGCTGGAATAATCTTGCTCACGTAATTACAAATCAGACAAAAACGCGCATTCTTTGTGTATTTTTCAATCACACGTCGTAGAGAAAACTGAGCGTCGTTTGTCATGGAATCAGCCTCATCCAGGATAATGAGCTTCACGCCTTGGCTAAAAAGTTTCTTTGTGCCTGCAAATTCCTTAATCTGATTACGTACTACATCAATACCACGATCATCGGAAGCATTGAGCTCTAGCACCATGGAGCCACAATTCTTTCCATAAAGTCTTCGAGCTGCTGCTAGTATCATAGACGTCTTGCCCGTACCCGGAGGACCATAGAAGAGCAAATGAGGCAGCTTGTGTGCATCAATAAGACGATTGAGCGTCGAGATTATCTCCTGATGTGCAATAAGATCATCCAGCGATGATGGACGATACTTTTCCACCCACGGCCATGATTCAGTTGATCGATTACGTGAAGAAATGCCTTCAAATACAGGCACATCATCAGTCTCAGTCTCATCCATCGACTTCATTTCCACGTCCGACATTTTGCATTCATTGGCTAAAAATAAAACCAACAAAAACCCAACCGACGGAAAAGACTAGTCCTATCGACTTCTTTTACCTTCGATACACCGTAAGAAGACCTTCGCGACGTTTTCTATTTCAATCCATCGTTCTTTATTATATGTCCCTCTGTTTTTTCTCTCACCCTATTTGACTTCATTTATTTCCGTTTTTTCGTTATAAAGATCTATTTCTCATAACTTTAAAAGGTTTTGTGAGCACAAATGGCGTCTAGTGAATCACCACAAGCGATTGAAAAACTTCAAGAACAAATTCAGAAAGGAACGGAAGAAACCAAGACGTATCTTGACTCAGTAGGTTATAGCTCTATTCATTGTAGTAATACTGGTATGTGTATAACACTGTATGGTTTGATTGGTGTGTTGATAGTTGAAGGAAAAATTGGCGGAATATGACGCGCAATTTAACGTCTCGGAGACTGCGAGTTCGTATTTACAAGCAGCAATTGAGCGCGCACACAAGTCTGTGGATGAGCTGAAGGAATTAGGTGAATCACTGAAAGAAAAGTCGAAAAACACGTCGGCACCTGTCGTGGAGGTGGCTAAAGCTTCATTTAGCAAGGTGCAGACGGCATTGGACGGATTAAAGGAACGTGGTCGTAGCTATGATGATACGATTCGAACCAGTGTTACAAGCTCGGTGGAATCTGTCAAGGGTGGTGTATCGTCCGTGTCGACTTCGATTGAACACATTGTAACGGCTACGCGTGAGCGCAGCAGCTCCAGCTTTGAGCAACTAAAGGAGACACTGTTTAGTGCTGGACACGGCGCCTATGTGGTCGCTGGAGGCGTCGTGGGTAAGGCTGAGGAACTTGATGGCCGCTACGGCGTCGTGGACACAGTCTCGGGTATGGTGGGTGCAGTGGCCGGCAAAGTGTCGGACCTGGACCGCGCGCTAGGTGTGTCGGCGACGGCCATGAAAGTGGACGAGAAAGTGACGGGCGGCATTGGAACGGATTTGGTGAACAAGGGTGTCGTCCTTGTCAATAGCTCGGTGGAGTACGTGGCCGGCGCACTGCAGGAGGCCAAGATGGCGGCAAACGAAGGGTCAAACGAAAAGGCGCCCAAGACGGTCGAAGATGCCACGGAAGCGATCAAGACGAGCTCGAAGGACGTCTAGAGCTCTAGGTAGACTCGTTGGTAGCATGCCACTAAGTATGTTAACACAATCGTTCAATATACTAATTAATGGTGCACCACGGCATGTAATGGGGGCTTATGTGGATCTGCTGTTGCTAATCATGACTTGCATGCGCCTTTCACTTGCGGTGATAAGGAAAAAGTAGTACCTGCAGCATAGGCAGAAGCTGCATCATTGAGATGTTTCCTCAACTCCTTGTCGCAATCAAAGGGCCTATCAACCTTGACCAAAAATAATCTGGTATGATTTCGTCACACATCAAGCATTGTCGTATTTCCTGTACATACCGTTTGGAGATCACAACTCGGATATAATCTGCGCGGTGAATCAGGGAAGCACTAAAAGCATACGGCTAACGTAAATGCTATCAGAGCAGCGCTCAGACACGTCAAGGCATATTACTTGCCGAATTTCATGACGCGCTCATGAGATCATGCTCAGACTACCAGCTCGTAATATGGAGGCTCAGCTTGTAGGTCAGCGATATGAAAACGAGTACTAAAATGCCGGGCACGAGTCACAAGCTCCAGATCACTTTACCCATAGACCGCTTGAATACGAGCTGCCGCAGACCAAAAATGTTCCATCATGTTGTAAGACTTGTCCATCATTTGTCGCCTCCATGACGTTAGGTAGTTATAACTTTCGCGATGAGTTGAGCTCCGTTCATAACAACATTACTTATAGTGTTATGGAACAGAACTCCTGGCGACCAATAACAATGAGCGAATCGCCATTCGGTGCCCATTGAAGACCTCGAGCTTGAAAAGACTCTGAAGTCACAAACAATCGAGTTCAAAAAGCTGAAAGTGAGCATACAATACAGCAGCATAAGGTTAGTGTTAGTAAAACATACCAATAGGAATGTCAATCCATGACACGCCCTTCATAGTCCAGAGATGGACGTGGTTTTCTCCCGATGTAATAGCAAGGCGAATGTGTACAGGGTCCCACTGCAAGCTTCGCACTAACTCTAGCAGTGAAATGGTCGCATGAAGCGTCAAGTTCTCAGTGCGCCATATCCACACATTGTATGGCATTTGATCGCTTTTGGTAGCAATAAAAGCTGAGTCAGGACTCCACGCAACGCGGCTGATACCAATCTTGGGATTTTCTACCCTGCAGTACAGGAGCAAATTGGTTCATTACGTTGTCTTTCAGTCATACCAGTTTCATGTGTAGGCTAAACACGATACTTACAATGGATCAGACGTGAGCGCTCGGACGGAAAAAGGAGGATCTCGTCGCACGAAGCAAATTGCACGATATTTTTTACCACCCGCAGCCTGAGCTGCCGCTGAAGCTGCCTGTAGAGAGTTGGAAAGCAAAGAAGATCCGTGCTGGGTCACCGCAACGCGCCTACCTTGTGGTCGGTCCATGACATTGGCATCCGCAAAATTCTCTTCGTACTCAATCTACATTGGCAGTGTAGCAATGGTGAAACCGTTTGTTAGTTCTAAATCAGCAACAAGTCCGCTATGCAGTCACACATTTACCGCTGCCTGGTTTGTATTGGTGCTTGTGATAGCAATGCTCGTGTGGTCAAAGTCAGCGATTGGCTTCCAACCAATATGACTTAATATGCGCAAGTGTTCATCGTAGCTCCCCAGTGCAAGAAATTGGCCGGACGCCGACCAAGCAATCGTCTTCAACCCCAACGCATTTTGATACGCCTACCGAACAAAGTGAGCATTGTCGTTACCAAGTGACCAAAAATAGTTCAAAACTCCTGTCAGTTGTTAACCTGAAACTTCGCCAGGAATGTGCCATTGGGCGAATAGAGAAACACCCCAAACTCCAAGTGAGTATCACGCACAGCAATTGCCCTGCAAGATGCAATGAAAGACTAGAATAAGTGCATCATATTCCTCAAGCCTCAGTACTCACCACCAACGCACGCGTCGTCCGGCGACCACATAACTTCGACGCAGTCATAGCTATCAATCGAGAAATGTGCCGTCAGCTCCCAACTTTCGGAGCTGTAGATACCAATGAAGTCCTGGAAACAAACGATCGCATTTACATCAGTCTCTGCCGTCCGTCCTATCCTATCCTATTATTACCATTCAGTACCTTGCAGTCATGTCGTTCGATAACTGCGAGAAACTCCCCATTGGTTGAGAATCTCAATCCTTCTACTGCCACTTTAGGATTTCGAATCATGTATCTCGTTGATGGGTCCTGAAGCGACCACACAGTCGCGTGCAATTGAAAGTCCGATACAGTAATAACATGACGTGCATCAGGTGTCCATCTAGCGTGGACTAATCCTGCAATACCTTCCGACATCTTGCAGCCCCAGGAAGCGTCTTGCACAGACCAGATCTGCACTACTGCACGTTTGTGTATGGCCGTGAGCACAAACTGCGAATCCTTAGACCAGGCCAGCGATTGCATCACATCAATCGTTGAGTAACGCTGGACAATCTGCAGCGACTTTGCATCCCGGATTATCAGGCGATTGCCATTGCCTACGGCCACGTATCGACCACACGGAGACCATCGTACAAGGCCGCACGTCACGGGCATGGAGACTGATACCGTTGGCATCGTCCTGAAATGATGTTAGGATAATTAGGACTTCTAGGCTGATAAATATACCGGTAAATGCTCCAAGCAGATTGAATATATCCAACACGACGCGTGTGAAGTTTAGATTACACATGGCTAGTATGATCTTTACTAAAGCCCTCATTTCATACTAGCTTTCCATTTACTATACTGTTTTTTCTAGCCCTACGCTGTCTCGGACGATGCTGCGCGAGTTCCAGTGCGTCTACTTCTTTCTCCAACAACAACAACTTCTTCCTTTTCAGCAGCTTAAAGAATCGCTGCGACTCGTCCGATTCTCGTCCCTCACTAAACAACTTCAACGCTAGCTCATCCTCCTGCAGGTCATTCTTCCGACGCATCTCACTTGCAAGCTGCTGCTGTACAAAGGTCAAGTCATCCATCGATGCCGGTGTTACCCTGGGACTTTCAGCTCTATTTGGAATACTCGAGTTCGTCGCCGACTTTGCGTTTTCCTCCTTCTCAGTTGGAACACCAACATCAGCCTCATGTTGTTCCTCACATTCTGCATTCTCAGCTGTCTCTACCGCTAATGTATCAACTTGTGGGACCTCCATCTCTTCTTCCTCCTCCGTTTCCTCTGCCTGCCCACCACTTCCTCCTCCTCCTCTTCTAATCTCGTGGCATTTCTGCACAATCTCCCAGCAGCTCACAAACTCAAAGCCTCTTCCTTGTGTCTCTCGAAAGTTGCTCATTGCTCTCTCCACTGCTGCCATTTTGTCACTTACTCCTTGAGCTTCAATCCGATCCAAATACTGCACAAACACCTTCACCTCGTGTGACATGAGGACCCATCGGTTCCGCAGAGCGCGCACACTTCTCATGCTTTGAACTCGACTGCGCACTGAGTCCCAAAAAAAAGGTCCTTCTTTCACCCCTTCAGACGCCACACCAGCATACGCCGCGGCCAAACTCATGTCCTCATCGTGGCGCCATTTTTTGCCACGACCCATTTTTTGAAAAGGAAAAGTAGGAATTAGCTCTAAACCGACGTGTTACCGATATGGTACTACCAACGTCCAATTAATACTTTATAAACTAGTAAATTACCGAAAGTATGATCGCTGCTCTAATTTTTAATGTAATTACAGACCTCTCTGCCTTAAAAAAACTATTCATACAAACCCGTCAGCGTCAGTTAGACGGAACTTGGACTTGCAGAGCTTCCGAGTACCACCAATCGCACACTTATCTTTGCGCTTCCCACATTTTGCGTAACCTTCGTGAGCTCTATCAACGTATGTACCTTACACATATGCTCTGTCGACCGCTTTCCATAGCTTAGCTGTTGCTTGCAGCTCGTATTGTAGTATTAAACACCGTATTTTGAGAGCGCATCGTTCTCTCACCCAGCTACTTACCTTAAGCAGCAGTTGCGCATGTAATGCTTACGCGCTTAGACACGTAATGCACTGACCACTGGTTTCTTTCTGTGATGTCCACCGCTCCTTGTGCACCAAATTGCTCTTCACTTGCTGTTTGCTTGCGTGTACCGTTGTTGCTTCCTCGATGCATGAGAGTTATTGATCAGGATCTTGCTCTGCGACAAGCCGGCCAAACCTGCAAAAAGAGAATTTCGAGCTCTTTTGTCTCCTGATATGAAAAATGAGTGACCTTTAGAGAATACGGAAGATCTCATACTTGCGCCATTGTCACGATCTGATCCTTCTCACGCCGTCACGCATCAGCAACCAGGAGCTCCGGCACCGAGGCCGGTCCAGTCTCGATTTGCCCGCTCCTTTTCACCCCGATTACGCTCTTTGCGGCTAGTGATACTGCTAAAATATAGATGATCAACCACTTTGGTGGATAATAGGAGTCTGATGACGCGATTAGTGTGTTTAGCGACCTACTGGAAGATGACAACGGGTTCTTGTATCTGGACGAGTAGCTTTGCTAGCCCAGTCGAAGGTCCTTAAAACGAATGGATCCCCGGCTATCGTAGCCGGGTGCCTTATTATTTAAGAAAAGTGGCTACATGCGTCTACGCTTCTTAACCACAACACTAATCCCAGCAAGAAAGGTTACGACCAGCAATCGAGTATGTAACGGGGTCACACAAAGGTGTGTATTGTACATACACACCATTGTAATGTGGCTGTGGAAGGGTGATGTGACCGTACCTAAGGTACGAAGGGTCGCATCGTGGGTTGACCCGGGTTCAATTCCCGGACGGGAAGCTTTTGTTCAATCCTGTTTTGTTACTTGTGTTCCTTTGCTCGTTCGTTTTTGCTTGTGCGGTTATTCTCTCTTTGCTCTTCACTCTTTCTTCTATGGTCGTCGTCGTCTTTTGGTCCGCGCTCTTTTCTTGTCGCTCGTTGCGCTTGCTCTTGACGACTAGCTTCGTATACGAGGAACTATGGAAGTATGCCGCAAGCATCCACGGTACAGACCCCGCGCATCTGGTGTATGATTGTGTTATGACTTTGGTAAGGCAGAAGACAATTGCCGAGTGGAACCCGTGTATCTGGGATATGGACAGGCAGAAGACAAGCGCTGGGAGGCAGAGAATAAGCGTATAGTGGAACTCATCCCGGGTTCGGTTGATCAACCTTGTGCCAGCATCTGACCTGCTGCTGGCTTTCATCCTGCTGATCATGTAGATGACGCGCGATGGTTTGTGAGCGGAACAAATAATCCGAATCGACCCGTCCGAGCAGACTGCTCATTATGTGGTGCCCTTGATACTATCCGCAGTAAGTTTGTGTGTCTGTTGCAGTAGCGTGGGGTGTGCATCGTCTGTGGTCGTGCCATGTGTCGTGTGCAGAGTGTGTATATGAGTGGGAGGACGTGATGCAGTGTGTAGCGTGCATAGGAAGTGTATTTGTGTGTGTTTGTGTGCGTGTTTGGTGTGTGTTTGGTGTGTTATTGTGTGTGAAATGTGGTGTGTTGTAGTGGGTTGAAGGATTCTCGTTAGTATAGTGGTTAGTATACCTGCCTGTCACGCGGGTGACCCGGGTTCAATTCCCGGACGGGAAGCTTTTGTTCAATCCTGTTTTGTTTCTTGTGTTCCTTTGCTCGTTCGTTTTTGCTTGTGCGGTTATTCTCTCTTTGCTCTTCACTCTTCCTTCTATGGTCGTCGTCGTCGTCTTTTGGTCCGCGCTCTTTTCTTGTCGCTCGTTGCGCTTGCTCTTGACGACTAGCTTCGTATACGAGGAACTATGGAAGTATGCCGCAAGCATCCACGGTACAGACCCCGCGCATCTGGTGTATGATTGTGTTATGACTTTGGTAAGGCAGAAGACAATTGCCGAGTGGAACCCGTGTATCTGGGATATGGACAGGCAGAAGACAAGCGCTGGGAGGCAGAGAACAAGCGTATAGTGGAACTCATCCCGGGTTCGGTTGATCAACCTTGTGCCAGCATCTGACCTGCTGCTGGCTTTCATCCTGCTGATCATGTAGATGACGCGTGATGGTTTGTGAGCGGAACAAATAATCCGAATCGACCCGTCCGAGCAGACTGCTCATTATGTGGTGCCCTTGATACTATCCGCAGTAAGTTTGTGTGTCTGTTGCAGTAGCGTGGGGTGTGCATCGTCTGTGGTCGTGCCATGTGTCGTGTGCAGAGTGTGTATATGAGTGGGAGGACGTGATGCAGTGTGTAGCGTGCATAGGAAGTGTATTTGTGTGTGTTTGTGTGCGTGTTTGGTGTGTGTTTGGTGTGTTATTGTGTGTGAAATGTGGTGTGTTGTAGTGGGTTGAAGGATTCTCGTTAGTATAGTGGTTAGTATACCTGCCTGTCACGCGGGTGACCCGGGTTCAATTCCCGGACGGGAAGCTTTTGTTCAATCCTGTTTTGTTTCTTGTGTTCCTTTGCTCGTTCGTTTTTGCTTGTGCGGTTATTCTCTCTTTGCTCTTCACTCTTCCTTCTATGGTCGTCGTCGTCGTCTTTTGGTCCGCGCTCTTTTCTTGTCGCTCGTTGCGCTTGCTCTTGACGACTAGCTTCGTATACGAGGAACTATGGAAGTATGCCGCAAGCATCCACGGTACAGACCCCGCGCATCTGGTGTATGATTGTGTTATGACTTTGGTAAGGCAGAAGACAATTGCCGAGTGGAACCCGTGTATCTGGGATATGGACAGGCAGAAGACAAGCGCTGGGAGGCAGAGAACAAGCGTATAGTGGAACTCATCCCGGGTTCGGTTGATCAACCTTGTGCCAGCATCTGACCTGCTGCTGGCTTTCATCCTGCTGATCATGTAGATGACGCGTGATGGTTTGTGAGCGGAACAAATAATCCGAATCGACCCGTCCGAGCAGACTGCTCATTATGTGGTGCCCTTGATACTATCCGCAGTAAGTTTGTGTGTCTGTTGCAGTAGCGTGGGGTGTGCATCGTCTGTGGTCGTGCCATGTGTCGTGTGCAGAGTGCGTATATGAGTGGGAGGACGTGATGCAGTGTGTAGCGTGCATAGGAAGTGTATTTGTGTGTGTTTGTGTGCGTGTTTGGTGTGTGTTTGGTGTGTTATTGTGTGTGAAATGTGGTGTGTTGTAGTGGGTTGAAGGATTCTCGTTAGTATAGTGGTTAGTATACCTGCCTGTCACGCGGGTGACCCGGGTTCAATTCCCGGACGGGAAGCTTTTGTTCAATCCTGTTTTGTTTCTTGTGTTCCTTTGCTCGTTCGTTTTTGCTTGTGCGGTTATTCTCTCTTTGCTCTTCACTCTTCCTTCTATGGTCGTCGTCGTCGTTTTTGGTCCGCGCTCTTTTCTTGTCGCTCGTTGCGCTTGCTCTTGACGACTAGCTTCGTATACGAGGAACTATGGAAGTATGCCGCAAGCATCCACGGTACAGACCCCGCGCATCTGGTGTATGATTGTGTTATGACTTTGGTAAGGCAGAAGACAATTGCCGAGTGGAACCCGTGTATCTGGGATATGGACAGGCAGAAGACAAGCGCTGGGAGGCAGAGAACAAGCGTATAGTGGAACTCATCCCGGGTTCGGTTGATCAACCTTGTGCCAGCATCTGACCTGCTGCTGGCTTTCATCCTGCTGATCATGTAGATGACGCGTGATGGTTTGTGAGCGGAACAAATAATCCGAATCGACCCGTCCGAGCAGACTGCTCATTATGTGGTGCCCTTGATACTGTCCGCAGTAAGTTTGTGTGTCTGTTGCAGTAGCGTGGGGTGTGCATCGTCTGTGGTCGTGCCATGTGTCGTGTGCAGAGTGCGTATATGAGTGGGAGGACGTGATGCAGTGTGTAGCGTGCATAGGAAGTGTATTTGTGTGTGTTTGTGTGCGTGTTTGGTGTGTGTTTGGTGTGTTATTGTGTGTGAAATGTGGTGTGTTGTAGTGGGTTGAAGGATTCTCGTTAGTATAGTGGTTAGTATACCTGCCTGTCACGCGGGTGACCCGGGTTCAATTCCCGGACGGGAAGCTTTTGTTCAATCCTGTTTTGTTTCTTGTGTTCCTTTGCTCGTTCGTTTTTGCTTGTGCGGTTATTCTCTCTTTGCTCTTCACTCTTCCTTCTATGGTCGTCGTCTTTTGGTCCGCGCTCTTTTCTTGTCGCTCGTTGCGCTTGCTCTTGACGACTAGCTTCGTATTACGAGGAACTATGGAAGTATGCCGCAAGCATCCACGGTACAGACCCCGCGCATCTGGTGTATGATTGTGTTATGACTTTGGTAAGGCAGAAGACAATTGCCGAGTGGAACCCGTGTATCTGGGATATGGACAGGCAGAAGACAAGCGCTGGGAGGCAGAGAATAAGCGTATAGTGGAACTCATCCCGGGTTCGGTTGATCAACCTTGTGCCAGCATCTGACCTGCTGCTGGCTTTCATCCTGCTGATCATGTAGATGACGCGCGATGGTTTGTGAGCGGAACAAATAATCCGAATCGACCCGTCCGAGCAGACTGCTCATTATGTGGTGCCCTTGATACTATCCGCAGTAAGTTTGTGTGTCTGTTGCAGTAGCGTGGGGTGTGCATCGTCTGTGGTCGTGC